ATGCTATAATTTACATGATTATTTCAATCCTGTCTTCGGTATTGTCCGGCAGTCTCATTTGACATTTTTACTGGTTTATATTTTTAAAGATTGCTGCATCACATCTGTATTATATGGAACACGACATGTAATTTCAGACGCAATGTTCTTTTTGAAATCAAAATTTGACTTAATGGACGAATTGGTGATTACTGTCCAGTGGAAAATATTACATGTAAATTTAGACAAGAACATGTCTATGTGATACGAATATGAAAACTGCTTTATTCTAGACCAATATTGGTAAACTGAGGTGGATTTTTAATTTAATATATAACAAGGTAATAGTCTGTACTTTGACAAACTATTCCTACTATGAGCCGACCAGTTCTGAAGGCCACATGCTTGAAAAAGAATCAGGACATGTTAGTTTACCCAGCCATGGATTGAACACACAACCTTCTCAATTCAAGAAAAAAGAAAACGGAAATTATTGTAAGCTATAAGAGGATGACAATTTGATTTTCGAGGGGGGTATTCATTTACAGTTTTTTGCTTGACTACTTTTTCCCAGTTCTTTCAAAGCCAGACATTTCATTTTTTAAAATACACATGAAAGCCCCCCACCCTCCCCCTCGAATATGAAATGTTTGTGCAGTTACACCACTGTCCCAGGTTAGGGGAGGGTTGGGGCTCCTTCAAACTAGTTTAACTCCTACACATTCTATATGAGCCTGTTCCAAGACAGGAGCCTTGTTGGGTCATGTCTGTTTTATTTGATATTTGATATTTGTTTTTCGTAAATTGTTTTGTTATAAATTAGGCTGTTAGTTTTCTCAATTGAATTGAGTCATATCTTTTTAAGTCGTGGCCTATTATAGCAACTATACGGTAAGGGGTTTTCTCATTGTTTAAGGCTGTATGGTTGCCTATAATTGCTTACATCCACTTCATTTGAACTTTGGTGGATAGTAGTCTCATTGGCAATCATACCACATCTCCTTATTTTTATATCTAGAGGTCAACATGAATGAGGTCAATGCATTTTGTCAAGTTCTAAAGTGAAGTTTTGGTCACCACTTTTTGACATAATATGGGTATGGAAGATCAAAATGTTGATGATCTATAAATGAAAGTTCATGGTTAAATCACATCTAGTTCCAATATCACTACCTTAAACTTTTTTACATAGTATTCCTTCATTTCCTTGAAGAATCTTCATGAGGATACTACATATACGAGGGTAGGAATGGGGTACCCCACATGACGAATGATGGTAAAATATTTGTTAGAATAACATTAACGATAAATATTTTACTCGATTTGATGCTAACTGTAGCCCAAAAAATGAGATTTGATGAATGACGATAAAAAGTTATGAAGGCTTATTTGACGCTAATGGTAGCGAAAAACGGATTTTTGACGCTTGATGATAAAAGGCATTCCTATCCTCATATACATCTATTACCAAAATCTGAATAAAGATAGGCAATGGATGCATGTATATACTAATACACTATTTGACCTTGTATAGCATATCAATCATATTTATACACCAATAAAATGCATACAATCATGACTGTAATTTTCCCAAAAGTTTAATGGAATAGTAGGAATATGTTGTATTAATTCTCAACCCAAGATCCTAACACACACACACAACAAAATCTGAAACAAAAGGTCATTCCTTTTATAGCTGTTCTTTAATCTCAGTCATACTGAGATCTTCAATATCAAGCAATAGCAAACATGGCTTAGCAATTTCGAGACAGCCCAAAGCAACCATTTGAAAGGGATTCTTTTGAACTCTATCAGAAACAGAATGATGTTAGGAGAATATGATTATAAACAATATAGAGTTGTAAATTTATGATACACATCTTGAAACCGAGATTACAAATATGAACTGCATTCTATTTGAAATTTCGAAAACTCTTAATAAAACTTTCAAAATGTTGGTTGTACTGTTTCAGAACTGAATAACATTAGTAATATCATTTAGACTTTAAAGAAATGTGTATTATTCAGATAATGTTGACTACTTCTACCTGTAAAGACTAGTTGTAACTTGTATTGTCTGCATTGTTTCACTTTCAGGAATTCAGGAGATTTTTTTTAATATCTAACCATACAGTATGGGACTTGCACTTCATTGAAGGTTGTGTGGTAACATGTAGTTGTAAATATTCTTAATTTAGTTTTATACAAGCTTCATTTTGAGATATTTGAGTCAATATTTGGGAGACAGGCGAATGTTTTCTTTTTTCCATTGAAGAAGCATAAAATTGAGAAGATATATCAATGTGGGAAATAAAATTCCATTATTTAAGGAATGACTGTAATATTTTTTCTGTCTATTCGAAATAACATAAAAAATGTGGTGCACACTGAATAACGAGCGTAGCCGGTTATTTAAGAGTGTGCACCACATTTTTTATGTTATTTCGAATATACAGAAAAAATATTACAATCATTCCTTATAATTTAATTCTAAATTCGATTTTAAAGGAGTAAATCATGAAAAAAATGTTGATGACTTCACGGTCACATGACAAAATTATGTCTATGAGCTGATAAACAAAATTCTCTCAGCCAATCAGGAGACATGTTACATCCAAAAACAAATTATTAAAAAAAAAACTAAACAAAAAAAACTGACAACAAATCAATATAGAAAATTATAGATTAAGCAGCACAAACCCTACTGAAACCCAGGAGTGGACTCAAGTGCTCAAGAAGGGTGGCAGTTCCTCTTGTGTTACTATACTAATTGCAAGTGAAATTTTGATGAATTAAATCTGATAATATCATTATCAAGGAAAAGTGAACAAGAAAGTGTCTACAATAATTGGAACATGTCTGTGGCAAAGAAATTACATAGCAGGCTTATATACCTTTAAAGTAGTCCAAACACATAATTTAATAATAGGCACAAGTTGTTATAACTATACTGACAGAATTTCCTATTTGTTTACTTTACTGTAAATCAGAAACAAGAATGTGTCCATAGTACACGGATGCCCCACTCAAACTATCATTTTCTATGTTCAGTGGACCGTGAAATTGGGGTCAAAACTCTAATTTGGCATAAAAATTAGAAAGATCATATCATAGGGAACATGTGTACTAAGTTTCAAGTTGATTGGACTTCAACTTCATCAAAAACTACCTTGAACAAAAACATTAACCTGACACGGGACAGACAGAGGAACAGATGGATGAATGAAAGTACGAATGGATGGACGGACAAACGAACGGACGCACAGACCAGAAAACATAATGCCCCTACTACTTTGTAGGCGGTACATAAAAATACTGAAAATTCAGAAATAATTGTGAGGTTTTTATTAATGTGAAAAATGTGAGTGGGTGAATATCGCAATAATAAGAACGTACATTCTGATATATAAAACATATAAATGTATCTAGATTTTTTCTGAAATCGCAATAATTAATCAACCATTTCTGTCCATTCTTCAATAAAATGCTCCACTGGGCGCAGCTTGATACAACCGCTAAGGTCGAACCCTGTACAGTTGGGGCAAGTATGGACACAACATTCAAGCTTGATACAGCTCATAATTTGGATTGTGATTAAATATTTAGATTCAGCATATCAAAGAACCCCAAGAATTCAATTTTTGTTAAAATCAAACTAAGTTTAATTTTGGACCCTTTGGACCTTAATGTAGACCAATTTGAAAACGGGACCAAAAATTAAGAATCTAAATACACGGTTAGATTCAGCATATAAAGAACTCCAATATTTCAATTTTAGATTAAATCAAAAATAACCAACTTAAAATGGAAAATTTTAAAGAAAAAAAAAAAGGAAAAAAAAGAAAAAAAAAAATCCCCCCCCAATTTTTTGAACCCCCTTATGATTCATCACCCCCAAACTCAATCCCAGCCTTCCCTTTGTGGTATGGTACCTTGCAGTACAATTTCAGAGAGATCCATACACTTGAACACAAGTTATTGTCTGGAAACTGTAAAAATGCTTGTTTTTTGGCCCCAAATTGCTAAATGTTTAGGGCAATTACCCCCAAACTCAAACCCAGCTTTCCCTTTGTGATATGGAACCTTGTAGTACAATTTCGTAAAGATCCATACACTTACACACAAGTTATTGTCCTGAAACTAGAAAATTGCTTGTTTTTTGCCCCTTTTTTGGCCCCTAATTCCTAAAATTTTGAGGCAATTACCCACAAACTCAAACCCAGCCTTCCCTGTGTGGTATGGTACCTTGCAGTACAATTTCAGAGAGATCCATACACTTGAACACAAGTTATTGTCTGGAAACTAGAAAAATCTTATTTTTGGCCCCTTATTCCTAAACATTTTGGGCAATTACCCCCAAACTCAATTCCAGCTTTCCCTTTGTGATATGGAACCTTGTAGTACAATTTAAGAAAGATCCATACACTTACACACAAGTTATTGTAATGAAACTAGAAAAATGCTTGTTTTTTGCCCCTTTTTTGGCCCCTAATTCCTACAATTTTGAGGCAATTACCACCAAAATCAATCAAAACATTCCCTTTGTGATATGGATCCTTGTGGTACAATGTCAGAGAGATCCATACACTAACACACAAGTTATTGTCTGGAAGTTACAACATGATTATTTTTGGCCCCTAATTCCTTAACTGTTGGTGCCATAACCCCCAAAATCAATCCCAACCTTCCTTTTGTAGTATTGAACATTATGGTAAAATTTCATAGAGATCCATTCACTTAAACTAAAGTTATTGTCTGGAAACTGAATGTGTCTTCGGACGCAGACGACGACATGATAGCATTATACGACGCAAAAAATTTTTGCAGTCGTATAAAAATCACAACAATAAATGCACGCAATAATTTCTGAATTTACAGTATCTATCTTTTCTTGATTAAACTACCACTTTATTCTCTTCCATAATTATCCATTTGATGTGTCATATTCTAACCTACCTCTTTTCCCAGCGATGATTATACATTATAGATGTTACCAGTTTAAAGAAAATTAAAATAACACATTGTCCTTGGGCATGAACTTTTATTCCTTCATAACTATAAAAATTTACATATCATTAACATAAATTCATATATTTATCATTCTTTGATATTAATAATGCAAGTATAAAATTTGTCCTTACTAGATATTTAAGACATTCAACCAAAGCACAGTATCTGCTAAAACTCATTTACCAAATCTATTCATTTGAAGAAAAATAATTCTTTCATATAAATTTTTTAAAGGTCTCCTTCTGAGTAATTTAAAGTTGTGAACCAATCAACTCAAATCTGCTAATCATGTGATGTGATACTTTTTCTTGTACGTAATGTCATACCTGAAAGAAAGAAAACTTCAATTACTATTTTCAGCTTCAATCTAAAAAGTGTTTGTTGTTTCTACAATTTGAAAAGTAAAATTGAACATTCACCACAATATTTAACTTGCATTGTTAAATACTTGCCACATGGTATTTAATCCTAATACTTACGAAATGTAGCCATACTAATGTAGCCTTACTACAATCTTATCATTGACTTTAACTACCAAAATCAGAATGTCTTGATGAGCAAATAAATCTCACTAAACCCATTTTTTATTGTGTTTATAGGGTATCATGTTAGAATTGGTTTCTACTATATTGACATCTAACTACAGTCAAACCTGTATTACACATTCAATCATAGGAAGTATTTAAAATAACTGCTCAAGAGAGGTGCCCTTTTAAAAGAGGTTCCGAAAAATTCTGATTCAGACATCGCTAGTGGCCCTGATCGCAGCAAATTGTTCAAGTGTTTTCAATCGGTAAAATTATCATTCTTGCAAGCAGTGAAATAAAAAATGACAGATTCCAGAAAGAAAACACTCCAAACATGCCAAATATTTTAATATTCATTGACAAATAAATTGATAATACAGTTTTCAAAGGAAACTGAAAGGAGTAGAACAGGAGGAATTCACAAATTAGCCTACTACTGCAATTGCAGTATCTCGGTTGCAAACAGGTATGCTTCTCATTTTGATTTTGATACTGATAAAATTGAGAATGGAAATGGGGAATGTGTCAAAGAGACAACAACCCAACCACAGAGCAGACAACAGCCGAAGGCCACCAATGGGTCTTCAATGCAGCGAGAAACTCCCGCACCCGAAGGCGTCCTTCAGCTGGCCCCTAAACAAATATGTATACTAGTTCAGTGATAATGGACGTCATACTAAACTCCAAATTATAACACATATATTTTCGTCATATTTATTATTTCGTAGTTAAAAACATTAAAATGACCTTTGTTAAAAGTTTCGTGTGAAATAAGGTGACTGCTGAAAAGAGTTAAATGATATAGAGAAAAGGTTTTGGAGGGTCTGAAGAGACAATTGACCATTAAAGCAGGTCTAACTGTATGTTGACCTTATTTTTCATGTTTTTTTAAGGAAGGAATGGGTTTTATTCAAAATATTGTATACATTTTAATTTCCTTTGATGTCCCTACTGTGAAAAATCTGTCAATGACCAGTAGATCTACCAAAAGAGCCCATCCCAAAAGGAGGACCAGTAGATGTACCAAAAGAGCCCATCCCAAAAGTAGGGCTAGTAGATGTACCAAAAGAGCCCATCCCAAAAGGAGGGCTAGTAGATCTACCAAAAGAGTCCATCCCAAAAGGAGGACCAGTAGATGTACCAAAAGAGCCCATCCCAAAAGGAGGGCCAGTAGATCAGTCAAGGGTCTAACTTAAATAAATTAGAGAAAAATAACATACATTTGTTATTGAGGGCTAAAAAATCAAAAATCTGTGATAAAATATGTATGTTACATGTTTCAAAGGGGCATTATACATTCTTAATTTTGTTAAATTGTGTACAATTTCTATTGATATTATAATTGTCTTTATGTATATCAAACTTTAGAAAGATATAACAGCCCATAGTTTGCCAATCATGCATAACACACCCATGTTATTACAGAAAAAATATGCCTGTAATAACTAAAGGGTGTTATTACAGCTTCTCTTCATCTCTTCAAAGGCTTTTCTCCTAAATATATCACAATGTATTTTAATTTATTGTAATAAATAATGATAAGAGCATGTAATGAGGTTCTGCGCAAGCTTCCTAGTCATTCCCAAGTGTCTCATGTAATACTGTGGATTCATTTATTTTCGTGGGTATCAATTTTCGTGGATAGAGAAAAAAAGACGTTTCGTGGTATACGTAAATTCGTGGATCGCAGATTACAAAAAAAAAAAATCAGATTCGTAATTCGGTGATTTCTTTTTGATTTAGGAGATCATATAACCTCCTTAGTTTGATCAATAATAAAACAAGCAAAAAAGAAGGAATTCATTGAAAAAATTTTGAATTGTCAAAATCCTCGCTTTGTCATTCTAGGTTAAAGTGTTCATTGAAAACTTCTATTACAATAATGGACAGAGACAACTAATTATTTGTTTGTTTTACAATTTATAAATTCTTGTCGGAATTTTATAAGGCATTCAAAACTCTTTGATTGAAAGCTCATTTCCCTAATCACGATATAATAAACAGTCATATAAGTAAAAGGTGTGAAAATAAATGTTCCTGTCATAAACAATATTACCTACGGGCAATATCCCTGTACTTAATCCTATTGATTTTTAATCACCAGTAAACCAAACTATGACACGGTAATTAACAACTTGCAGTTATTTTCCATGAACAGTTTTAATCAATTTTAAAAAGTAAATTATCACTGATATTCGATATATTTATTACTGATTTAATCAAAATACTTGTATCTTCTTTTAATAAAAACACGTATTATGTTACAATGTTTATCACTAGTCAACACTATACTAGAACTGCATAACATAACCGGAAATAAACATCCGACTCCATACACATTTCTCGGGATTATTCTTCGTTGAATTCTTTAATTCATGGTTCGCTGTGACCCACGAAACCCACAAAAATTGGTATACCACGAATAAAAATGAATCCACAGTAAGTTAAATGCCTGTAATAACTAAGCCTTGTTATTACAGCTAAGTTATCACTTAAAAGCCTTGTCTCATTGATTTACCATGGTTGATCAAAAATGTATTAATTGAATTGGAAAATTAGTTTTCAAGGTTATGTATTAAGTTACTGCGCAAGTTTCAAGAATTCCCAAGTGCCCACTGAAAATAAAAAGAATTATGGTACATTTAACTGATAACAAACATATGTTACTACAGATTAAGAGAAAGTATCCGTAATAACATATGTATGTTATTTTTCTCTAATAACTTATTCAAGTTACACCCTTGACTGTAGATCTACCAAAAGAGCCCATCCCAAAAGGAGGACCAGTAGATGTACCAAAAGAGCCCATCCCAAAAGGAGGGCCAGAAGTTCTACCAAAAGAGCCCATCCCAAAAGGAGGACCAGTAGATGTACCAAAAGAGCCCATCCCAAAAGGAGGGCCAGTAGATCTACCAAAAGAGCCCATCCCAAAAGGAGGACCAGCACAGTAGATCTACCAAAAGAGCCCATCCCAAAAGGAGGGCAAGTAGATCTACCAAAAGAGCCCATCCCAAAAGGAGGGCCAACCTATTGGTTGAATATGTGATGTGGGCAAAACTCTTAATGTTACACAACTTTCATAAATTTCTTCCCTTTTTCTATCCAGTATTTTAATCATTTTTTATTTCAAGTTCATTTTATATTATCCATTGAATTTGTTTTGCCTTGATACATCCTTGCTGTGCTTCTGTGGCATTTAACACCAATTGCAACTATCAATCAATTAGAGGTACAAATGTACCTTAAAAGCATGAGAAATAGTACCCATAATTTTTAAAGTTACTTCATTACATAATATCCTATTAAAATCCTTACAAAAAATTTAATTTTTTTTGTCAAAAGCAGCACTTTAATAATGTTCACTTTTATAAGCTCTTGATCTTGTGGTAAGTTCTGAGCCTTTCAATTCATCAAAGAAGAATGTAAAAAAAAACTCTTAAAATGAAGAACAGCAATTAAATGTCTTTTCCTTTGATTCATTGTTTAACTAAACATCCACCATATCTGAACTTTTAACTCAGCTATGATGTGAAGGCAAATATGCTTATTGAATGCAGCCAAAATCTTCCATCTTTATAAAATTCACATGTAAAATAAAATGAAATCTACTGTAAACCAACTAATTTTTGTGAGCGATTTATTTTGGCGAGTAGAAAAATAACGCAAATAAAAATAGTTGCGAATATGTAAAACTTGGATTTTCCTTTTTCTAACTGCATCAAAAAAATTTTTAAATGGCGTAAATTAAATCGTCGCGTAATGGACTAGAAAGACCTAAATGCGAAATAATGTATCCGCGAAAATAAGTTGGTTTACAGTATTTGGATTTAATCGTACCTTTCTTTAAACTGTATGCTTCACTTTTTCGTCTTGTTTTGTTTGGTGTATCTATCTTACTCACAGGCTCTGACTGTCTAAAAACAATTATAATTTTAATTGTTCAATTAGGAAAATAACAGCCTAGTTTAACACAAAACACTATACAAAAAACAAATATGACAGACATGAACCAACGACAACCACTGAACTACAGGCTCCTGACTTGGGACAGGCACATAAGGAATTTGGCGTGGTTAAACATGTTTGAAGACAACAACCCTCCCCTTAACCTGGGCCAAATCTCCGCCTAACCTGGGCCAGTGGTGAATAGTCTGTTGGGTACATATAGATTCTACCACACCATCAACAGAGTAAAGTGGCAGAATCTGTTCCTCTACCAATTTAATGGAAAATGCCGACTTAATGTTCTGAATGAATATGGCAGGAATTTATACAAGACAAACTTAACCACTTGTGGTTTATCAAAAGGAGTAGGGCCATGAATTAGTTAAAATTTAAATTTTCATCATAAAACAAAAAGTGCACATTACTGATAATTTATCACGTATATAAAAGTTGCGTCATCTTTCCATTTTGCAACAGATTGAATGCAATTTTGAATGGTTGAGTAATTTTAAAGAACAAATAATGGTTTTGCTTAATTCATTATGGAATTTATTTTTCTTGCATTATCATATAAATGAGTTTAGGGCTGTTCCATAAAAACATACATGGTACCCAGGGAAGGCACTTTAAAAATGGGGAAAAACACATTAGAGGCAAATTAAAATTTCACATACATTTCCACTATGCAAAAACATAGATGACACCCACCTATAGTTGAGATTTGGGAGTGCCTTCCCTGGGTCCCATGTATACTTTTATGGAACAGCCCTTACATCCATACACACAAAGCACAAAAAGGGAGACGGATTTTATATATGAGCACTGGTCTTGTTTCCTAATCCCAATTAATGAATTAATTGTATATTTCGTAGTTATTTACTCTTGTAGCTATATATAGAAATAAGAAGATGTGGTATGAGTGCCAATGAGAAAACTCTCCATCCAAGTCACAATGTATAAAAAGTTAACAATTAAAGGTTAAAGTACGGCCTTCAACACGGAGCCTTGGCTCACACCGAACAGCAAGCTATAAAGGGCCCCAAAATGACTAGTGTAAAACAATTAAAACAGGAAAACCAACCGTATAATCTATATAAAAAACGAGATATGAATTCTTTAATAAAATGTGTTTACACAAAAGCACAAAAAGGGAGTGGTATAATAATCCACATGGCTCTCTTTGTAAATGAAAACGGATGGATTTCAAAATAAAACGAAAATATTACATTTGCCCAGAAAATTAATTACACTTGACCTACCTCCTCTTTGATTTCTTTGAATTCTCTATTTTCTCACTTGATTCCTGTTAAAATAAATGATATATATCATAATAAACATTAAATTTTGTGTACCAAGGATTGTGTCTATAAACAGGCAATTATTTTTTTACATAGAATGTTAAGCTTATGTTCCATTTGGAAAATGTTTATGTTCTTGTTTAGATTATCTCCAAAATATACTGAAAACCTCCCTAGAAAGTATAACACCTGTCCTGATTACACAGTGACTTCACTTTCAATAAAGACTCTTAACAAAAGTATAAAGCATGCTTAGGATGGACATGCATATTGCTCTTTTTAATGCTATGGTTAGAACCATCTGTAGCATTCAGTGGAATTAATCTGTTTCAGAAAACTGTTGATGTTCCAAGATGGAACTTTAACATGTTTAAATTATTCATAATTATATCGATTTTAGTTTTGTATAATTGATCTTTCATGTGATTTTTTGTCAGAAGAATCTGTGCCCTGAAACATAGATATGTTAAAGAAAATAAAACTGTTGGTGTTGACCTATAATTTGACTCCAATCTTAGATATCTAGGGTTTGGTACAGTAAAAATTTATATTTTTTCCCCCAAGTAATATGTAATTAGTTACGCTGTTAGAAATTTTCATAAAAAACAATTCAGTGCTCCAAAAGCAGTCAGGGATGGAACTGTAAACAGTTATATTTTTAATAACTAGTTTAATGTATATATATCTAAAGAGCCTCCATTTGAAAATTACTAATAAGCACAATTAAGGTTACATTTGACAACTTTTCTAAATAGCCAATCTATGATTTCAAATTTCATATTTTGTCCTTCATAAACCAATGTCCCCATGTAGACTAACACTTCCCCTCTTGGAATTTATAATAATTTTCAATGCACATTGCAGGTTTTGAATGCTTGAAGTCTCTTTATACATGTTATAACAACATTCTTGGGATATTTAATTTCAGACACATCTTCAACAGCAATTGATTCCCATTTTTATCTTAAAGATCTACATATCAAATGATATACAAATATATCTGTAGATGAGATACTCATGAAAAAAGAAATTAACATTAAATGTGCTTTAAGAATTTTGAATAAAATTAAAACTATTCTTAAGATTTCTTGAGAGTTATTTCCCTTGAAAGGCCAAATTGATAAGTGCATTTGGTTACTTTTATGATAACCTTTTCCAGTTATGTCACACAATGTGATAAAACAAATAACCAGTTGAAGTTATTTTTAGAAATAACCGTTTTCAGTTGCACCCCTGTCTGAAAACCTACTGATTCTTCATGGTGACTCTCACTGCTTGGTTCAGACATCACAATGAATTCTTCTGTTTCTATGATCCTTGGAAGATTCTTTTTCGTGGAATCATTCATCTCTAAACACTCCACTGACTCAGATTCTTCTGAAATCTTCTGATTACTGATCCTATTCGGTGTTGACGATTCAGAAGACCTTTTTCTCTTCCTAAGTGATCTAGGTGTTCCAAGTTCATTTTCCCTTTTCATGCCACCATTAATTACCTCCCCTGGTAAATTTGATTCTGTATCATTTTTTGCCATAAATTGTGTTATATTAGGTAAAACTGGGGAATCTTCAAATTCTTCATCATGAGAATCAGGCACAACAAGATCTTCTGCATTTTTCGTATCTTTCCTTCTTTTTTTCTGTCTTTCTCTCTTATTTGATGAACTTGAATCGTAGTCATCCGCAGCAGTCACATCTAGACTTTGAAGAGAATCATCCAAAGACGTTTCTGTTGTACTAGCTATAGAACTGTGTTTTCCTGGACTAATTCGGGAACTAATTCTTCTGCCTGATCTTGTTTTCCTTACTCCTGGTGATAATTCCTTTCTCTGCAATTACAAATGTTTAAAATCCAGAATAGGTTTCCAGAAGGGGATTCAGGCAGGGGTTGTCGAAGGCATACCCCTTAAATGGAAATAGAATCATTTTATTTTGCATAAAATGGTTAATAATATTTGTGTCATTTTTAACATTACAGACATTAAGCTCTCCCCCTTTTTTCCAACCCTTCATCTGCCACTGCCTCTGGTTAACTGAGAGTTAGAGGTTCTTACACAATAATTGACAATTAATTTAATTTAATCTACAACTTTTTGGATCCCCTTCCCTAACTGTTTATGGTACTCAATCATTCTGCTTAGAACAAATACATGACATATATATGTCAATATTGATTCAACACCTAATGCCACACTGCTTGTCATTCGATATCATGTGAATATAATTATGGAAATTAAGACTATTTAAAAATAAGGAGATGTGTCAATGAGAGAACTATCCACAAAGTCCAAATGATGTGGAGTTAAGCAATTAAAGGTCACCATACAGCCTCTGGTTCATTGATAGGTCACCAAAACCGCCTCTGGTTCATCAAACAAAATAAGTCGTAATAGTTTGAAACTTTCCCCTCTTTCTACTTCACTGCAACTTAAACCCCCAAATTAAGCAAAAAGAACCATGAAGGAAAAGTATTTCAGAGTCTCTCACATTTTTGTGTTGGGTTTGTTTCAACAAAAGTGAATAAAATACCTTATTAGTTTCACCAGCCTGAAACTCCTCACCACCAAATTTATCCTGCCAACTTTTAATCTTGCTTCTTGGAACCATAAAGTTTTCAATTTGTGTTTGTTTCTTTTGACTGTCTTTTAATTTACTGTTATCATTGACTGATTCAGATTTTCCATCATTTAGATCAGAGCAAATAGAACATTCTGATGAACGTGTGGACCGTCTAGTATTCGGAGACTGACCGATGGTTTTCACCTGTTCTATAGTTTGTTTTCCTTTAGTGCTTAAATCAGATGCCACTGAACTCTCTGACAAACGTTTATTCCTTCTTAATTTATCTGGATTTTCCACAATTTCCTCATTTTTGTCTTCTATATTTTCAATTCCAGAATCTTCCTCGCCAATTTGAGCCCTTATCTTCAAAAGATTAACATTTCCTCTTTCACTCTCATCTGAACGTTTTACTGTGCCTTGATATTCTATTACAAGTGAATAATCCATGTTATCACCATGATTTCCTGTATTATCTGACAAAGATTTCTTGCTCTTTTGTTTGTAGCTTTCTTGTTTCACATCTGAATATTCTTTCTCGTTTGATGTCAAAGAAGTTTTCCTTTCTCTTTTCTTATTATTTTCAATACAATTTCCGTCATAAACTTCTACAGAACCTAATTTCTTAGAATTCTTTTTTGCAGATTTGTTATGCAAGTCTTTGTCCACAACTTCTGACAAGTCCTCAACATCGGAACTTACAGATTTTCTAGGACTTTTTCTCAAATACATTACTTTATTAACTCTATCAATTTGTAAATGAGACTTTTTGCTTGAATTTATTCCCAATTTTGTACAATTTTTTTCTGAATCAGTCAGGTTACCAAGGGATGTTAAACTTTTTCTTGACCTTTTGCTGTTTTTTTTAATTTCTCTTTCAACGGGTGCATCTGTAACAAGACTTTTTCTATCATGTTTATTTGGACTTTGATTATTGTCATCAAACATACTGACATTGTTTACCTCAAGACTGTCGTGTTTATCAGCTTCCAATGTTTGTTCATCGCAAGTAATTATTTCCGTCTGGTTTTCTTCCAAATGTTTGTTTTCATCTTTTTTCAATGTCCGAGTAAAAGAGGTATCAATGTGAAATATTGCCATGTCCATCTTGTCAACATTATCATTATGATCTGTATCCATGGCAACATCAGCCTCATTTTCATCCTCTGATTGGTCCTTCCTGTCTTCTGTTTTATTCTGTCCTAAAGCTAATCCTCCCTTATCGATGTAGAATAAATCTTTACTGGCAGCTGATTCCTATAAAAATAAACCTTAATTTTAAAATTTCTTGTTTGAGAAAGATGATAAATAATCTAAGCATGCCATCTTTAAAGAAGAAATGAAGGTTCTTAAAATTGACCATACATGTAAAGTATAGATGTATTGACACTATTGGGTATAAGTTGAATTTGCTCCAAATTACCCTAAATCTGTCTTTGAATAACCTTCAGGCATCATGCAACAGTCACTTTTTAATAAAGACATCAAATGTTTTATGTGACTCAAAATTTTACAGGAATTAGTTTGACTTTAAGTAATGGCGGACAATTTGCATACAACACATGTGTAAATACTTCTATTGTACAAACTCAATATTTTTATGCAGTTGAAGTTTATTTTTCAATTGTCACTGAAGATTTTAAAAGTAAAATTTATAATGATTTTCATAGCAACCAGACACAAGTAAAACTTTTTCCATTTAATTTTACACTTATATATATATATTTGACAGATTCATGTATACTTGACATAAGTTATTCAGTTGAGGAGACAAAAAAAAAAGGATATTATGTGTGTTAAATGCAAAAAATGGTTTGCATAAAATAATGTCAACATTTCTATATATATATTGCATAAATTAGTTGAACATGAAATAAAATTTTGTAATTCTTGCTAATTTGTGGGTTGCAACATTTTCTGGAACTCTTTGATATTGATAAGCACACAAAGTGTACTTTTCTACATCACACATGTCATTCCTGTTTTTATGTTTCCTTAATGTCAGGATTGGATGAAGATTTTCATAATTATCAAAGCATGCAAGACCATGATGATCATCTAAGGGTTGTTCAATTTTAACATACATGGTACTCAGGAAAGGATCTTTCAAAATGGGTCAATCACCCATAGAGGCAAAGAAGTAAGTACGGTATGGGACATATTTGGCCCAGATCATTTAGTTCAATGTTTGACGATACAAAATGTTTTTAGTCGACGAAAAGACATATGAGAAAGTTAAATAGAACTATTTTTGTCATAGAACTATTTTTGTCAAAGTTTGATTCTAAAGCATTTATTTATACATCCCAAATAGGTAAAAAAAAATTGAGATTTTTTGCTAAATTTGAAAAATTGTCTGGATTTCAACCAAATTAGGGCATAGGAAACATAGAGTGCAGCCATCGACTAACTAAATATTCAAGTCAGATATGTAAAATGTCATAACAAACATTATATCAAAAGATCTTTTTTGTCGATCCATGTGCTCTATGTTTTCTGTCCAAAAAAACAATGAAAATTTATCCATTTTCATTGAATTTTTTGTGGAAAATCAAAATGAGTGCTATTTGTGACTAAATGAATAGAACGCAAGTTCGTAAATTTTTAACAAAAAGACATATTTCTATAACTGTCATTATTTTAGCTATGAATCATTGTGATATTGGTCAATAAATCCTAATTTAAGATTTTAGCTAAAAATATGAGGCAATTTAGGGCCTTATTGAAACTACTATAGAATTTAACTTACATTTTCAGTTTATTTGATAGCCCACCCATAGTTGAGATTTCAAAGTGCATTCCCTGGGTCCTGTGTATTTTTAATGGAACAGCCCTAAATTTAAAATCCATTCTGCATCAAAATATTTCTCAGGTGTTTGCCTTTACTGGCAACTTCTACAATCCAAACATTCTTCCAAAGTTAAGATTCAAATAACTGATATCTGTGATGCTGACTCAGTGACAGAATCACAACTTAACTTCATCCAACTAATATTCTGGTTCAAAGTCATAAGCCACTAAACCCATACTATCCAATTCTCTGTCCATGAAAATCCTGTGAAGGCAGTGCCTTCTAATATATAGAAAATGAACAATTAATAAAATCCTACCAACTTGTCCTGTTTCACTCCAGTATCAATAAAAAAATTCAGCTGTTCTAAATCTTCTCCTTTCTGTTTAGTAGATGGTGTTTCATCAGATGGAGGTTCATCCGTTGGTGATTGCTCTTCATCCTCTGCTTCATTATAAGAAAATATCTGAAAAATATAAAACACACATAATTTAGCAAGACCTACATTTTATTACAAACCTCAGTACTGTGGATTCATTTAATTTCATGAATTGAGGAAAAATGGTGTCTTCCTGAAAATATTATTTCATGGTTTTAACAAGCTCTGCTTAAAATTCTGCAGGAAATATTAATATCGTTAAATTTAAGTCATGGATCACCTATGTACATGAAATCCGTGAAATTAGTATATATCTAAAATTATAATGAATTTACAGTAATACAATTTAAAATTCTGCAGGAAATATTAATATCGTTAAATTTTTAAAGTCGTGGATAATCTATGTACGTGAATTCCACAAAATTAGTATATCTAAAATTATAATGAATTTACAGTAATACAATTTAAAATTCTGCAGGAAATATTTATATCGTTAAATTTTTAAAGTTGTGGATCATCTATGTACATGAAATCCACGAAATTAGTATATCTAAAATTATAATGAAATTACAGTAATACAATTTAAAATTCTGCAGGAAATATTTATATCGTTAGATTTTTAAAGTCGTGGATCATCTATGTACATGAAATTAACGAAAATAAGTATCTCTAAAATTATAATGAATTTACAATTTTTTTTCACTAAATCATGTCTTATGGTCTTTTGTCCAACAGTAAAGGACAGAAGTCAGTGATGTGTTAACCTGTAATAAGGTGAGCATGACATTTAGACATTATGGTATTTATCATATTCAAATGCATCATAGAACATTAAAATAACTGGAGATTGTGTCCATGGGACACAGATGATACCCCCACTTGCATAGAACATGTTTTTGTGGTTATAAGCATGGTGTACAAGTTTCATAACATATGGTTGAGGCAAACTAAAGTTAGAGAACGGAAACTAATTTTGGGACAGATGGCCAGACAAAAGTAACACTTAATGCCCTTTCCGCTGCAGCGGGGGCAAAAAAACTATGTTTATTGGCTGAGAGATCAGAGATCAGACTTTTATAATTTATAAAGTTGGTCACATACTTCTTTAAAGCTTAATGCACTTCTTTTTTTTTATTTGCAACTTCCTTCAATAAAAACAGCAAGTTTTACTGCCAAAGACCAATTTAAGCATGTTAAGGGAATATACATTAAAAGTAGTCACCCCTAAACAATTTCCACGTTCTAATGTATAAAAAGAGTTATGATAAACAATAAATAAAGACATCTATGTTTTCTGAGCTGAAAATGATGAAACTGACCACATATACTGATTCCTTGACAGACCCATTTATCTTTCATAATCTATGTTCCATTTTATTACAACTAGTCTAGACTAGGAGCAATCAAAGGATTGATTAATTGTTGGTGTTTTGTGCCAATTTCAGCATTCTTTTACGATGACCTATAATTGTTTACATCCACTTCATTTTAACTTTGGTGGATAGTTGTCTCATTGTAATCATACCACATCTCCTATTTTGATATTGTCATTATCATTGGAGAAAGCAGTAGTGCCTGGAGAAATACTGTGGATTCATTAATATTCGTTGGATACCAATTTTCGTTGATTTCGTGGGTACAGGGGAACCACGAATTTAAATGTTCAACGAATTACAAATTTTCTAAAGGAATGTATGCAGACTTTGCCAAAACCATGAATTTACATATCCACGAATATGCAAGTTTTCCTCAATCCACGAAAATTGGTACCCACGAAAATAAATGAATCCACAGTACACCAACCTTTAACAGGAAGACTGGCTATCCTAGTCAATTAAGTCTAGATATTGACCTATGGTATGAATACTTAAATCTTAAAATGTTTTTTTTTTTATTTGTGTATTGTTGAGTTGCTGCCTCATTGACATATACCCTACATATCTTTTTATTTCCTATGCAGGTGGTGACTAACTTATATTCTTACATCTGTTAGTCTTTCAATCTGTTCTTCTGTAGCGTCCTCCAACAAAAACTTTGTCACAATGGTCCCCTTAAATTTTTTATCATTAGGAAGTTCTTCAAAAAGTTCAGCATCTTGCTTTTGTAACCATGACAGCAGTTTTCTTGGCGCTGACACTGACTTCATTGTCTGAAAAAGTATAAATGCAATGATTATTATCTAAGATTACTGAATTTTATTTCATTTATCTTCATTAAACTACCTCTGAATTATGAAGATATGATTTCATAAAAAAATAAAATATGTCAGATATTCATGTTGATCAGTTCTTAGTTTTCTATGTTGTGTTTTGTGTACTGTTGTTTGTTTTTTTTCATTGATTTTCGTTTTTTACAATGTCATTGTCAAATTGTTTTCAACTTATGAGTTTGAATGTCCCTTTGGTATCTTTCGCCTCACTTTTATATTCAAATTTCATGGAACAAAATACCACTACAGCCTACCTAAAACAAAGGTTTGAGTGATTGATTGTTTACATTAATACCAGTGCACTGGTGAATAAACAGAAGGTGTCAAAATCCAGAAATCAGAAAAAATCAAAATGATTGTAAAGGAATATACATATGGGCTTTAAATTGCAAAAATCTTGAAATCCTGCAAATTCCTAAATCTTAAAAGCATGCCAGTGACAAGTATTTCATGCATATCTACAATGAAACAATATAATAAGCTCACCAAGAAACATATATCTATACTGGAAAAGGTATGATTTGGAGATGAACTGACTGTAAAAACCTGTTTTTACAAAATTTGCAAATTTAAATAGAGAAATTATGTGCCTCAATTGGACAATATTGTATTTGTTTAATCCGAATCCATTTACAGATTATTAAGCCATGAAACAACAGTTTGGTATTAAAGGCTACATAGTATATTCAAATAGTTAAATGAATCAAAGCAGAAAAACTTGATCCTATATGGGTTATTTTGATTCTTGGGATTATTTTTCCTATAGGATACTTTTTTTTTGTACATTTCAGGATAGATATGCACTACAAATAAACAATCCAGAAGCTGTGCCTCGACCAAGTCAGGCTATATAGACTTTGTCATTTTTTCCCTTTGTTTGTCCATCTGTTTTGTGTTGGTAATTGATGTGGTCTGTAGTATTGTTCAGAATTTTTTATGATTCCTGTTATCCTTTCTATGTCATGTTTATTTTTTTGACAGATGACAAAATGGACCATTACAGAAATTCAACTTCCAATTTCACCATCCTCATTAATATTATATACACCAATCAAAATGTACAAAGCAGCTCCCCCATAATGCAACACCTTTTCTGAATTGGTCCATGTGGTGTCCTATTGTCTTTTTTGAAACATAACAAGAATGTCAATGGCGTGTCAAAAACACAATTTTATTGCTATTATCTTAAATTCTATGATTTTTCTTTTTTGGTAACTTTTCATTTCAAGCTTCTAGACTGAAATGGGTTTTCTCAATCAAATAGACTGTAAATGCGATGAACTCATAAGCCAAACATCATTGATGTTGCCTAGGTAAATAGTGATTAACAGAATATCTATGGTCTTTCAAACGAGAGCAAGTTTCTCTCATAGCTATTGTAGCTAAGAAGCTCCTTCCGATTTTCAGTACCATAGATATTCTACTGTGGATTAATTGTTGTTCGTTGGATATCCGTTTTCCTGGATATCATGGGTAGAGGAAACACAAATTTAAATGTTCAACAAATTACAAATTTTCTATTTATATGTATGCAGACATTGTAAAAATCACCAAATAAAATATCCACACAAATGCAAATTTTCCTCAATCCACAGAAATTGGTACCCAAGAAAATAAATGAATCCACATCATAATGATTTTACAATCAATCAAAATCTTTGAGTTTAATTTAAGAGCTATTCCAGAATTAAATGCATGGGGGCAACCACCCATAAAATAAAAAATTTCATTTTATAATTCTTACAAAATTCTAAGGAAAATATGACCACCTATATTTAATTAATTTGAGTTCCTCCCATCACCCTACTTGATAAACTTTGGAACAGCCCTAAATTACTTTAACTGTACCTCATTGATGCTGTCTACTGCATCCCCTATTTTACTATGGAGGGACCTTACAGCCAGAACCTGTCTAAGATAAATCTTTTCCTCTGGATACTCTTCTGTCTTCTTCAATATAGCTCTGACAAATACAGGATTCAATAATTTAATTTGACTTTTATTCATTATTCAACAGATATAGGACCAGATTCTATAGCAAAGTTCTCTTTAGAAATAACCTAACAATATATTAATTTTAAGTGAAAAATTAGTTTTGTTCATCTGCTTACATTGTCATCTCGTACAATTTCAAATAATAAAACAAACAAATGAGTTAAGCAATTTGCAACTGATTTTTACAGTTTGTTCCTATATTGTGCTGTAACAGTTACTCCATTGTTCCAGGTTAGAGGAGGGTTGATAGCTAACAACCATGTTTAGCCCGCCATATTACTTACGTGTCTGTCCCAAGTCAGGAGCCTGTAGTTAATGGGTTGTCGTTGGTTCATGTCTGTCATATGTGTTTTTAGTATATTGAATTGTTATAAACTAGGCCAGTAGATTACTTGTTTGAATTGTTTCACATTTTTTTGTAGGGGCCTTTTATAGCTGACTATCTACAGTATGGGTATTTCTCATTGTTGAAGGCCATACAGTAACCTATAATTGCTTACAGCGAAGTAATTTAAAATCTGGTGGATAGCTGTCTCATTGGCAATCATAATACATCTCCTTATTTTCATACATATCAAGTGCTGGTATGGATTAATCTCCCTTTCCAATATTGGTACTGAATGGAAAATATATAATGCTCTCTAAGACTGCATAAGGACAAAAGTTTAGGAATGCAACTTAATTTGAATATTAAAGTATATATTTACCTAAATATTAACATTAGAGAAATAAATTTTGTTATGACAGATTAATGTTGCACTGCAGTTTGAAAATTATGCAGTATATTAATAAACTGTTATCACAGAGATATGTCTCGCCTTTTTGTAATTTTGATAATGCAAATGTTGAAATTAAAATAGCAATACTTTAACATGTAAGTTATGCAAATATTCAAAGTCAATGAACCATGACTGAAGGTACATGGCTAAACAATCTCCATTGAATTAGATGTGCCAATGCCAAAACAACTGCATACCAAATACCATTGACTTATTATAAGTCGTTACCTTTAAACAAACCTAAACACAAACATTAACTTGTAAACTATGTAAAAGTTTCAAAGTCAATGAACCATGATCAGGGGTGGGCTATATAATCTCCATGGAAACGATACCAAATATCATTGACTTCACATTAGCAGTTCATCTTAAACTGATCTAATCACAAACTAATACATGTAAACTAAGCAAAAGTTTCAAAGTAAATAGACCATGACTGAGGGGGCAGGGCCAAATAGTCTCCATGGAAATGAGATGTGCTAATGCTTATACAACTAAACACCAACTAACATTGGCCTACCACTAATGGTTCCCCTTGAACTGACATAATCACAAACTAATACATGTTAACGTAGCAAAATTTTTAAAGTCTATAGACCATGACTAAGGGAGCGGAGCCAAATAATCTCCATGGAAATGAGATATGCCAATGCTTATACAACTGCATACCTAATATCATTGACCTACCACTAGTGGTTCCCCATAAATTGACCTAATCACAAACTAATACATGTAAACTATGAAAAGTTTCAAAGTCAACAGACCTTGACTGAGGGGGCGGGGCCAAATAATCTCCATGGTAATGAGATGTGCCAATGCTAATACAACTGCATACCAAATATCATTGACCTACCACTAGTGGTTCAGCATGAACTAGACCTAATCACAAACTAATACATTGTTGACGCCGCCGCCGGAAACAGCATATCTATGTCTCGCTTTTTGACTCTGTCAAGGCGAGACAAAAATTGAAATTCAGATTGAGTGCAGCAACAAAATACATTGTTACATATATTTGAATACCAGTTTTATAATATGCTTTGCTATTTTCTTGTTAAGTCTCAAATTGTTCTTTATCATTTCTTTGTTCTTGTTTAAATTTGAAATTTTCCTTTATCCATTCATTTCGTTGTTTCCTTTATTTACACATGATTAAACTTTAGTTACACATGATAAATTTATTTACGCATGACTGAACTTAAATTACACATGATTGAACTTTTATTTACACATGATTGAACTTTATTTACACCAGCTGATTTACACATAATTGAACTTTAATTTGCACATTACTGAACCATGGTTAATACCCATTCTAATGAATTCATTAAGTACCTTGCCAGAGGGAGAATAACTATTGCATCTTCTTCTGTGACTGATGACAATTGTAAAAGTAAGTCTAGCTGATGTTGCTGCCATGGTAACAAGTACTTTACAAAGCCACAGAGTTGTCTCCCTGTCTTGTTTTTGTTATTTCCTGATCTTTGTTATGAAATAGTACAACAATTTAATATATATACTTAGAATATACAAATTACTAAGGATAATGCAAGAAAAATTGTAGGTTTTTGGATAAGAACATATTCAAATTTAACACTTTATGGATGGCTGGGGTTTGAATTAATATTCAGAAAGCAAATCATCAGGTTCATTTACAAAATTATGATGGCTATGGGAAAAAATGTCTCTCTCCTTTTCCCTTTTTCTGGAATACCAAGACTAAAATTGATATAACCTAGCTAACAAGTGCTAATATTGATGCTGGTCAGTTATATGGAACTGGTTCACTGTACTTAATATACATGTATACATGTCTGTACCATTAAGATTTTATTGCTGTTTAAATCATTTTATACTGTAGTACTGTAAATTCAGAAATTATTGCATGCATTTATTATTGGGATTTTGTCATTTTAGACTTTAATGCGATTTTAATTTTTACGATTTTGAGAAAAATCCTGTTTAATTCATATAAAATATTTCATAGTGCGAGTTTAAATTATTGCGTTTACAACTCTGTCGCATTTTTCGCAATAATAAAAACCTCGCAATAATTTCTGAATTTACAGTATAATTACTTTGTTTATTTACATGTTGTTTGATTATCATGATATAAACAGATTTATTGCATCTAAATTTGATGGTATCATTCAGCTCAGTTTTTGGGTGCTGTGATTAGAGATATATATTATTCTTTTCTTTTCTGAGAATCATCAAAGTTTCAATACTTACTTATTAGACTGCAAGAACAATTCCACATATAGTGATAAAAGTGATGTCAAAATATCTTCATATGATGGCTTTTTCTCATCTCCACACTAGGAAATAAAATACAATTAAAAAAAATAAATGCAAAAAATGAACATTGAAAATATGGACACTTTAGAATTTCAACTATTGTAATATTGCCAAAATTGCCACTGGAAAGGTTTTGCCAATATAAAAACTGTTACTATAAGTTTCGATAGCAACATTTGGATACAGCAATTCTTGAAATCTCACATTGTTTCAAGGGTTCAACCACACCAATAAATATGCCACAGACCTTTTATAATTTACTGTGAACTAAATTTTTTTGTTATAAATTAGGCTGTTAGTTTTCTCAGTTAAATTGTTCATGTTAGGGCCTTTTATAGCCGACTATACGGTATGGGTTTTTCTCATTGTTGAAGGCTGTATGGTTGCCTATAATTTCTTACATCCACTTTATTTGAACTTTGGTGGATAGTTGTCTCATTGGCAATCTTACCTCATCTCCTTATTTTTATAACCATGGACGAAGTACTGAATAACAAAATATAAAATAAAACTACTGTAATTATTTTTGAAATAAACACTTTATGTTTGTATGTTTGTATGTTTAATATAAAGGGTCAAACAGAGAACTTAAGAATGCAAAAGCTATAATTGAGAAATATCAGGAGATATAAAATGAAATGACCTGCTGTCACACCAACATAGTTCACTGTGGATTCATTATTATTTATAATGTTTATGGGGTACTTTTTTTCATGGATTTTGACGGTAAGGTGAAAAAATTCAATTTTCCAGTAAATACAACATACCTTATGTCTGGTGTCGGTTTCACAAAAATACTTATGTTGCTAAGATCAATCGTAAGTCATGAACAATTCAGTATACTTACGACCAATCTTAAGTCATAAGTTTGTTTGTGAAACCAACACCTGGTTTGCAGATTTTGTCAAAACCCCTAGATTAATTTTTGCTTGTGTTGTTTTGTTTATAGTGCTAGCTACTCTACAAAATACAAAATACTCAATTTTACAATGTCATATTAAAAATATATTCACAATGGTGCTTTATGTTCATGCCATCATTAAAAAGGTCACTGAGACTTAATTCTAGATAACAACTATAAATACAAACCTGATCACAGTGTTGTTTTCTCAGATGACATACACTAACAAAATTTCTTATTTCTTTTGCCATCTCAGAGCATCTACAAAATACAGAAAATTTCCAAAGTATTGAAATATGAATCTATTAACAATATATATTAGATCCCTCATACAATCTTGTATTAAATAATCTAAACAACAGATAAATAAACTAAACAACAGATAAATCAAAAAATTCGTAAGGGTTCCACGGAACCCAGTGTCTCGCCTACTTTTGCTGTTAGTCGCAGGCTCAACAAAAATGGGGAAAAAATTATTAAAAATTTTCCTCTAGATACTATCTTTTGATTGTAAGAAGTTCTGTTCAAGTTTGGTAAAAATTCAAGAAGGTTTATGCATCTAATAAATGTTTTAAAAACTTTAACTGCAGACTGTACGTAATGTTAACTGGAATAAAACTAAGTCCATTTATAAGTAATATACGGAAAAACAGGAAATAAATTTTTACAAAATTTCCTTCTAGATACTAGCTTTTGATCATAAACAAGCTTCTGTCCAAGTGTGGTACAAATCCAGGATAGTTTAAGAAAGTTATTAAGATTTGAAAAACTTTAACCACAGAGTGAATGTTATGTTAACTGGCAGAAAAACTAAGTCCATATATGAGTAAAATACGGATAAACAGGATTTTTTTTTTTACAAAATTTTCTTCTGGATACTATCTTATGATCATAAACAAGCTTCTGTCCAAGTCTGGTTGAAATGCAGGATAGTTTAAGAAAGTTATTAAAATTTCAAAAACTTTAACAACAGAGTGAATATTTGTGGACGCTGACGCCGCCGCCGAATTGATAAAGAAATTGATATTGAAAAATTCAAAGTATCGACAAACAGGGACGGACGGACAACTGGTATTTATATGACCCCCCACAACGCATTGTGCGGGGGACAAAAACTATAATTGTAGCCATTTTAGCTACAGTATAAAATCAATATTAAGTCAATGTCAGAAAAATATTAACTCTTTTCTTGGTAAACCACTCCCTTCCCAAGTTTCTAAGCCTCATACAAAAAAGTTGATATTTTTCTGACATTAACCTTATACTGTACATATATCTGTCTAACCTGTCTGTTTCCTGTTCAGTCACTAAATCCTCTGCTTGAGTCTGTACAACTCTGAAATCAAAGAAACAACACTGTATCTCACCAGCTGCCATACAGGATGTATTTATTATAACAGATTATTAGTTACTGTGTTTACGCAAGATACTTTGGGTTTACAGAAAAGATATACTCAGTGTGGATTCATTATTCATGGGATACCAATTTTCATTGATTTCTTTGTTAGTGGAAAATCAGAAATTTAAAAGTTAAACGAAGTATAAATTTTCTATAGACTTATATACAAGCATTTGCAAAACCACAAAATCAAGAATCCAGGAAAATACAATTTTTCTGCAATCCACGAAAATAACAAAAATAATAAGCTTAAATCCACAGTATTAAATTTAAACTGAAACTTGTTTGTTTAGTAAGTAGGTTTTCCGTTTCTTGCAAGGCAACTCTTTTTGCATAAACATAATAACACAAGAATTATAGCTGAGTTTCTAACTTTCTGAATTCTAACTTTTTTCTGTTCAGTTTTATAGACTTTATTAGTTGTGAAATATAAAACAGTCTTTGTAAATTTTCCATTTAGCCTAATTTTGATTATATCGTAAAATGCACTTACCTGAAATATTTTAGCATTATTTGTCGTAATGTCTCTGCATGCTTTGATCCTGAAGTCAACTTAAGCAACTTGTGACAACTGGATAATTGTGGAAAATTTTCATCCTTTGGTGGGAAATCCTACAAATATATTTCATGCATTGAAAGCTTTGCTGATAAAACATGTACATGTACCTTATAGAAAGCCCCTGTCTTACAACATTTGTACAACAAAATGTTGACAGAAAAATAATTTATTTGCGTGAAAGCAACAATTGTTGTTGGGTACCAATTTCACTAATATTGTGCATTCTCTCTAACATTGTAAACTGGTAACAATGTGTTGATATACATGATGAGTTGAAAACTCCAGATCTTTGATGGTAAGTCTCTGTTAAATTTAATGTCTTTTGGTTATTTGTTTGGTGTCTTTTGGTAATTTGTTTGGTATCTTTTGGTTATTTGTTTGGTGTCTTTTGGTTATTTGTTTGATGTCTTTTGGTTATTTGTTTGGTGTCTTTTGGTTATTTGTTTGATGTCTTTTGGTTATTGGTTTGATGTCTTTTGGTTATTTGTTTGATGTATTTTGGTTATTTGTATGATGTCTTTTGGTTATTTGTTTGATGTCTTTTGGTTATTTGTTTGATGTCTTTTGGTTATTTGTTAACATGTCTTTTGGATATGTGTATGATGTCTTTTGGTTATTTGTTTGGTGTCTTTTGGTTATTTGTTAGATGTCTTTTGGTTATTTGTATGATGTATTTTGGTTATTTGTTTGGTGTCTTTTGGTTATTTGTATGGTGTCTTTTGGATATTTGTATGATGTCTTTTGGTTATTTGTTAGATGTCTTTTGGTTATTTGTTTGGTGTTTTTGGTTATTTGTATGATGTATTTTGGTTATTTGTTTGGTGACTTTTGGTTATTTGTTAGATGTCTTTTGGTTATTTGTTTGATGTCTTTTGGTTATTTGTATGATGTCTTTTGGATATTTGTATGATGTCTTATGGTTATTTGTTTGATGTCTTTTGGTTATTTGTTAGATGTCTTTTGGTTATTTGTTTGGTGTCTTTTGGTTATTTTTATGATGTAGTTTAGTTATTTGTTTGATGTCTTTTGGTTATTTGTTTGATGTCTTTTGGTTATTGGTTTGATGTCTTTTGGTTATTTGTTTGATGTATTTTGGTTATTTGTATGATGTCTTTTGGTTATTTGTTTGATGTCTTTTGGTTATTTGTTTGATGTCTTTTGGTTATTTGTTAACATGTCTTTTGGATATGTGTATGATGTCTTTTGGTTATTTGCTTGGTGTCTTTTGGTTATTTGTTAAGATGTCTTTTGGTTATTTGTATGATGTATTTTGATTATTTGTTTGGGGTCTTTTGGTTATTTGTATGGTGTCTTTTGGATATTTGTATGATGTCTTTTGGTTATTTGTTAGATGTCTTTTGGTTATTTGTTTGGTGTTTTTGGTTATTTGTATGATGTATTTTGGTTATTTGTTTGGTGACTTTTGGTTATTTGTTAGATGTCTTTTGGTTATTTGTATGATGTCTTTTGGATATTTGTATGATGTCTTATGGTTATTTGTTTGATGTCTTTTGGTTATTTGTTAGATGTCTTTTGGTTATTTGTTTGGTGTCTTTTGGTTATTTGTTAGATGTCCTTTGGTTATTTGTTTAGGGTCTTTAGGTTATTTGTTTGATGCTTTTGGTTATTTGTTAGATGTCCTTTGGTTATTTGTTTGGTGTCTTTTGGTTATTTGTATGATGTATTTTGGTTATTTGTTTGGTGACTTTTGGTTATTTGTTTGATGTCTTTTGGTTATTTGTTAGATGTCCTTTGGTTATTTGTTTGGTGTCTTTTGGTTATTTGTATGATGTCTGTTGGTTATTTGTTTGATGTCTTTTGGTTATTTGTTAGATGTCTTTTGGTTATTTGTTTGATGTCTTTTGGTTATTTGTATGTTTTTTGGTTATTTGCTTGGTGTCTTTTGGTTATTTGTTTGGTGTTTTTTGGTTATTTGTATGATGTCTTTTGGTTATTTGTTTTGTGTCTTTTGGTTATTTGTTTGGTGTCTTTTGGTTATTTGTATGATGTCTTTTGGTTATTTGTTTGGTGTCTTTTGGTTATTTGTATGATGTCTTTTGGTTATTTGTTTGATGTCTTTTGGTTATTTGTTAGATGTCTTTTGGTTATTAGTTTGTTGTCTTTAGTTTATTTGTTTGATGTCTTGAGGTTATTTGTAACATTTCTAAGCCTAGGCCTGTTATAAATAAATTTGAGACTGATTGTTGCCGTCAGTGATGTCTTTAGTTATATCTTAATGTTTTGTGTGCCGTCATTATAAACAGAACTTACATCTAACAAATTTAACACCTCTGGGTCCTTGTGAATTCTTTCAGCTATAATTTGGTTCACTAAAATAGACAACACAAATTAAATAGGTCTATATGTTATAACACATAAAATCAACTGCTTTTTCATTTACACATAGAAGAGGGTATGGATGGGGTCCTTCATTTCCGTATTCTTTACTTTTTAAGACCATTTTTCTCTTTTCTTTATTATTTTGAGTCCATTACTCTTTATTCTTCATATTTTATCTCTCAATTATTCTCTATTCTTGATTTGTTTGTCCCTTTATTCTGTATATTTTTTACATTATTCTCTATTCTGTAAACCCCATCCAGTCCCTCATAGAAATTGCTTTAGACTGGACACTGATTAGACTTAAATATCTTTTTATCAATTCAATCATATTTTTTTTTCATTTGGTCTATATTGTACAATTACAAAATATCAACTTAAAGTTATTTTTCTGTGTTCTTCTGTTGTGTTGTTAGGTTGCAGTCAAACCCAACATAATCTTTTATTCACATTAGTACATGTAGTATATTTATATATACGTATATACTGGGTAAAAAAAAATTACCAACAAATATCTTTATTTTTTATTTCATTTTTTAAAAATACTTCTAGACAAAACAATCAATGAAATATTTTATCAGAGAAAATTAAACACAGTGCAAATTTTACTCCATGTACTCTTGATTATAAAGATTTAAACTTACGATTTTTTTAATTAAAAGTTTTTTAATTTAAACATATGTTGCTAAACTTCTTTTACTCAGTATATTTCAAACTGTTTAATACATGTGAAAACATCTGGATTTTCAGATTCTAGCAGTTAAAAATTTAAATTACAGCATTTAAGAACTGTGTAGACAAAGAAGAAAAGACATATTTAAAATTTAGATTCTTTTACTATGATACCCATTTAACAAGATTTAGCATTTGTAACCTTACCCAATATTTCTCTTTCTTTTTCTGTTTTACTCTCTGTGTTTTGAAGTTGATGTCCATCTTGCTGATATAAATTATATACAAATTCTGGCAAATCTTCCTCCTCTCTAACATGCTGCCTGGTTTGAGATTTCCTAAGAAATCTACAATAAAACATGTATATGAAAAATAAATATATGTTTAACCGTTCACCTTACGTGAACTGTATAACCAATGTGATAATCATATGCCTTTTCTACTGATTGCTGAGGAAATCTAGTTGTCTGACAAATTTCGTACATAAATCCTGGTATTTTTTAATATTCACACGGTCAAAAGTCAAATTTCCAATCACTAATTTTAGTTTTTTTATTTTTATTAAAAGGGAGATAACATGTATGTATAACTGTATCCCTGTCTATACAACATGTACAAAGCATGTGGATTGAGCATGATGTACTGTGCTAGAAAAGTAATTTTTCTTTGTAAGTGAATTATACATGTTACACATGCATGGCAAGTTTAGGATTGCTAAATAGGTACCCAATGAAAATTCATAAAAGCTGAAGTACATAAAAAATGCTTTTTCCATAAGGTTTGTCAAGGCATGGAAAATGTTCATCCTACCTAGGTGTTATTTTTCTTTGCAGAAAATTCTAAAATTGAAAACAAATTCGGCAACTGGAAAATAATCTAGACTATGGCACAGCTTCTTCAAGAACAAGCAATTAATAAAAAAAATCAAAAATGAAAGGACATACTGTTACTAATATACATGTAGATAGGGTTTCATCACGATACAACATAAATTATAAATGACCATCCAAATTGAACTCTTGACAACACACTTTGAACCAACAGTATTTCTAAAATCTAAATCCATTACCTAGTGGAACCCTGCCCCTTGATCAACTTTTTTTTATGTAAGTATAACCTTATACTTACTTATCTAACTTTTTAACATATTTGTCAACATTTTGTAGAATTTCAGTCTTTATATCTTTCTTTGATATACTCTTTACTGCCTCTATAAATGTTCTCTTCAATTCCTCTTTGTCATAATCATCTCTCAGACTGTATGAATCTAAAATGAAAATAGTCTTACTATAAACTTGTTTAAATTATAGTTCAAGCTTGCAACTTGTAAGAAGGAAAAATCTTTTCAGAAGACACGACTGAGAGGCTCTATGATTGTCTATTTGACAATTTTATTTTAATGGCAGTCTCAAGAGTTTTTCACAGCTTTTTTAACATGTTTAATGACAGACTGATTTTAAAAAATAGAGCCTCGTGCACAATTTTTTTTGTTAATTTTTTTACCAAAAGACCACTTCCTAGTTCGTAGCATTTCAGTCAAAAACTTTGGTTTTAGTGAACATCATTCTTGCACTTAGGGGCATTGTCACTTCCTTTCCCTGTTGAGTGAGCAGTTGTAAAAATATGATGCTCTATTGCACGAATTATTCGGCAAATTACATTCTTATAATTGATAATCAGCACTGCTGTCATTAGGTAATTGTGATTAAGTATAGATCTACAGAACAACAACTATTTAAAGTTTATCCTATATAATGATGATCCCGAAGATGCTTGATGAACTTAAATAGTGCACGAATACAGGCTGTCACCTCTATCTGGTAAATGATGTCATAAAGGTGTGCATAATTGATGAACTTTGAAGGTCAGATTTGACCATGTTATAGCCACATGATGGGTGTCCACTGATCTGCAGGCTCCTGACTTGGGACAGGTATATGAAGAATGTGACAGGGTTAAACATGTTTGAAGGCGCCTATATAAAAATAAGGAAATGTGGTATGATTGCCAATGAGACAACTATCCACCAAAGTTCAATGAAGTGGATGTAAGCATTATAGGCAACCGTCATGATCACCGTATGCCAATTTTTCAATCTATCAACATGATCATGTGTCTATCAAGAACCATAACTTCTGTACTTTTCAAGTGAAAATCTTCACTATTATACTTGACCTCCATTTAATCATCTGTAACAACAAAATTTGAAAAACACTGGTTCAACAGTTCATAAGTTATTGCAGGGAAATAACAGAAATTGGCATTTTCCAACCTTTCAAGGACCATAACTCTCTAATGGAAAAAGTAAAGATCTTCAATATTGCAGTTGACATCAATTTTGTCATCAGTAACAAATTGAAAGTTTAAGAGCAATGCTTGAATGGTTCATTACTTATTGCATGGAAACTGTTGACAGCATATTTTCAGAATTTAGGTTCATGCGTAAAAAAATTGCACAGCCAAAAAGTATTTAATTTTCTATGTCATAATATACAGTTATGCCTTTAAACTATTCCAGATGCACAGGTTTATCTGTACTCAGAGTAAATTTTGAGGTGTAAACACTTTTACATGTTTTGGCCAAAAAATCTGCAAAACTGAATTTAAATGATCCTTTACTTCTATTCACACATAAGCATTACACATTTGATATTAAAAATATTAGTAGTCGCCGTGCGTGTTTAACCAATACATGTATATATGTTAGCATACAAACATACATGTATCAAATTCGAACTGAGTAAGACCAACATGACAAGTGAAGTGGGAGAGATGAGAGGCAGAGGTAAAATTGACTACAAATTTGATGTGATCTGATTGTTCATGAAACGATTACTTGATGTGTTGAAATTATAAGTTCACCTTTCAATTGAATAGCCGTTTGTTTGGTAAACTTTAAGGCTTTTTTACTGATGTTCATTTTTATCTTTATATACTAAGGAATACTACACGTGCACTTTTCACATTAATAAGCCAAGTGAAGATGTAAACTCAATTTTGATTGGACAAAAGACAAACGGGGTATTCCGATATATACCAATCAGATAAAAACGCCTTAGCTTTGAGGGATTCTCCTAAAAATCAAAGCAAATACGTAAACCTTTCCAGCTTATTTAGTAAATTCGTGTATAATTGGATGACATACAAATAAAAATATCTTTTAAACATAATTTCCTAGCCTAATATTTATACGAAAATATCACGATTTCCAGATTTTACAACTCTGCCTTTCGGTGCAATGAATTGTGGGATAGAAAGGAATCTTTGATGCTTGTGTTTTAAGAATGAGCAAATTATTTCACTTAAATACGTTTACAAACGATACTTTTGTTTGTAGATGTGTTTTTATGTATCCTATTTAACCCAAGAATCCGTACAGAAGCCCAGGGGTAGCCAGAATTGTCAATCAACTTGAAAAGACATGGATTTCGACAGAATGGAAAGCTCCAGTGAGGATATACAATGTTTACATTTGAAAATTTTATCAAATTTCAATGAAAAGACAATTCTGTCATTTATAATTTAGTTACCAAAACATATTTTGAGTCATGGCAAATTAATGCATTTAATTTCTATTTTCAGGCTTAAATGGGATGAAAGCAGGGATGGATGGAGACAAGAAACTGAGAAGAAATTACAAACTGCTTGTAGATCCCATGATAAGAGGAGGCTCCCAGAAAATCTACAGATTTGATGGAATAGATCCAACGGTAACATGTTATGACTAAGAATGAGAAGACTGTCAATTATGACAGTTGGATAACTTTCTTTTTATGTTGATACATGCAGTTTCAACAGGAAATATATACTTACTTCATGCATGTTTAGGATTATTAGAAAATGAAAGGATATGGAGAAAATGTACATGGGACAAAATCGCACACAATACATAGAAAACATTGAAAATTATCAATGAACAGGGCTTTTATTCCTGTTCTTCATCTTGACAGTTGATGTAGGGTCTTGTTTACATGTATATGTACAATGTACAATGTACCATAATTTCAGATTCTTGGATATACTTTACATGTTGTAATTTAAGTGCAAATTGTAAAAATTAAAGCATACAGCTGGTAATAGATTGTTTTGTTTTCTTTCTGTAGCTTCAACTTGTATGCAAAACACATTAAAAATGTAATAGTGTTATAAAAATTAAATTTTATTTAAATCATATAGCATGTATATGGATGATGTTAATTATTTTAGATGATACATGTACAAGGGATGTAAACATTTAATTCATTTCATAGGTTTAAAAAATATTATATTTTTCTTTTTCATATTTGTAGCACAAAACAATCTTGCCAACGGTGAATTGTAGGTAGAAAATATACATTATCTGAGAAAAATATATGATACGTTCTAGTTGACATGTTTTAGTGTATGTACAGATACAGAAAAGATTTTGATAATTCTGAATAGCATGTGTATTAAAATCTATTAGAATGGTTATGTCATTTAAGCTTCCCTTTTATAGGACAGTCATCAAATCCACACTAGAGATCCAAGATCAAGGTTAACTCGAATGTGGACAAGAAGAATTCCTGCAGATTTACCTGTTCCAAGATTTACGGTAAAACTAATATAGTTTGTCTCAAAGTTGTATAATGAGTCATTGCCTGAACTATTTTATTTTTACTATTTATATGCTATTACTGAAATGTATAAGATCTTGTGTCTGTTTCATTATGACCTATACAACCAGCCAAAGGTTTTTCTTCTTTCCAATATGAAATTAAGAAGATGTGGTATGATTGCCAATGAGACAACTCTCCACCAGAGACCAAAGGACATAGAAGTTGGCAAGGCCTTCAACAATGAGCAAAACCCATACCGCATAGCAAGCTATAAAGGCCCGACATGACAAATGTAAAACAATTTCACAGAGAAAACTAACCGCCTGATTAATGTTAAAAAAAATGAAAGGAAAACAGAGACTGTCACAGAAACCATTTGTGCTTTAAGGAACAACTGAGATTTGTTAGATTTATGTGATTTGAAGGTTAAAATGACTGTTCTGTATATTTCACTTTCCCTAGGATGTTTATACATGATTTTTTGCAGAACACATGTATAGTTTTTTTTTTTATACTTACCACATTTTAAAAAAATTATAAGTATTTATATTAATACCATACCTGAAAACTAACAAGTTAAAGGATGGACATGTAGTAGATATGAAAAATCTAACAAGAGCGTAAATTATCAGAAAGTCAAGATCTTTTGTAAATCTATCAAAAGTATCACAGGATTCCTTATACGATTTATTGCCCTTCAATGATGATATTTTGTTGTTTTTGAGATATTATCTGATTATCTTGAAAATATTAATAAATAGTGAGAAACTGGAACAACATATTTGATAAATGATAAACAAGCAAATTGAGATCCACATAAAATTTCATTGATCATGTTGATAGTTCTAATATAATCCAGGAAAAAAACTTTGATTAGATTATTGCAATGAAATGACTCCATACCACTTTACAATCACTTACCTTCAATGTCAAAATCAATGGGCAATTCTTCGACGAATTGGAAAATAATAGACTAATGTTTGAAATGTCCCCAAAAACAGTCATTTACAGGTAAATTTGTTGGGACTAGGTTATAGAAAAATAATATTAAGTTTCCTTTCCCTTTAGACAAAAATTGTTTGACGTTGCCTACCTACCTGAAAAATTTGATGATTTTATGACAAATCCTTTAAAAAAATTTCAGAGATTTTCTATCTGCTCTAATGCATTTTCTTATGTAAAACATGTAACTTATGTTGTTGGCCCAAAAAAAGTTAAGTCCCTACCTACCTACCCAACCCTACAAGGAATGGATAGGCACATCAGACAAATAATTTGTTAAGGGTGGCCTTATATATTATTATATATTGGTACACAGGGGGTTGGGGTTCTTAAAATTAAATTAGCAATTCACAATTTAGTTTAGAAGGCCCAGCTTGTCTTGTACAAAATGTATGCTGTTTATGAAACAAAATGAACACTTCAATTCGTATGAAAAAAGGCACCAAATTGTGAAATTCACTTTTTAAATCCAAGTCAGGAGCATGTTGATATTTATTTACAATTTTATATATTGTTATGCCGCACCATTAGGTGAAAGGGGCATTAAGTTTACCCTTTTCTGTTTAAACGTACATCCAAAAATTGGTCTCTGTTTTCTTAACTTTGCCTCAACCAAATGTTATGAAACTTATACACAATGCTTATTACCATCAAACACAGATCAAGTTAGAGTTAGGGTGGTGTCACTTTCAGTGCTCTTGAGTAATGTTCCTTTATAAATGGAAAAATAGTTGAACTTGCAGTATATTTACAAGGGGGCATCTGTGTCCCATGGACACATTCTTCTTTTATTTTTTATAACTGTGTGTTTATTGTTCAATTTGTTCTATTTTCAGTATGACCACTACTATGTTGGACCACCTCCTACCAATGAAGTGACATTACCAACTGTGTGTTTATTGTTCAATTTGTTCTATTTTCAGTATGACCACTACTATGTTGGACCACCTCCTACCAATGAAGTGACATTTACCAACCTGAATGACAATATTGACAAAAAGTTTTTAGAAAATATGTTAAAAACATTTGGACAGTTGGAAGAAGTGAACATTTTTTACAACCCAAAGAATAAAAAACATCTTGGTATTGGGAAGGTATGAGATAAGAAAAAATTATTTATGAAAATGAGGCAAAAGAAAAATATATATCTATGTAGACTTTAATTGGTTTCAGAAATTAAGGAAAGTAGGTGGGAAAAAAGGATTTATTTATCAACTGTATTTCAAAGACTTCAGAAGGAAGCCACATTAAAATTAACATAATCATTTGCTGAAAATTGGGGTAAAGCGGGATAGGTTAGGCACTAGAATAACTTATGATTGTGAAACCTTAAACATGACTTTTAAACCCAAGCTCTGAAGGAGAGGAGTATCCTGGTTTACCTCTGTGAGTGCTATGAAATTTACGGCATATATTTTAGCTCACCTAGCCAAAAGGCCAAGAGAGATTTTCTCATCACTTGGCCACCACTACGGTTAACCAGGATACTCCTCTCCTCTCTGTTAACTTTTACAAAAAACTTCTTCTCTGAAACTACTGGGCCTAATTTAACCAAACTTGGCCACAATCATTATTAGGGTATCTAGTTTAAAAACTGTGTCTGATGACCTCGCCTGTCAACCAAGATGGCTGACATAGCTATAAATAGAACATAAGGGAAAAATGTAAGTTTTCCTTATTATTTCGAAAACTGCTATTAATAGAGAAAATCTGACAGGGACAAAAATGCCTACTATCTCGAAAATTATGATAGACACTTTAAAAAGAAAAATGATCAGCAAGACGAGATCTACAAATAAGTCAAATAACATAAGAAATAAAACATTTTATTTCACTAAAGCCCCACATTGGGTATGTTAGTACAACATTTTAATAAACAATAAAAGTGTGAACATATTTACATGAGAACAACATGGTAAACAAAGGTACAATAATAGTATATATAATGAATACTGATATGTGATAGGAAGTACAAATTATAGTAACATGATTAAGCACATGTATTAAAAAAGTATTTAAAACACTTTTGCAAAATTTTGCTATTCCAGTAAGTGTAAATAAATCAGATGTATTCATCAGTTCTTTAAACTTTAAAACATTTGGGTTATTACATATATTTTAAAGGTAAAAATTTAGCTCTTACATTGTTGAAAAAGGGACATTTGAATAAGTAATGAAACTCATTACCAAGTTCATTAGCATTACAGAGATTACAATGTCTTTCAGTTCTATCAATAATAATCTACCAGTTTCAATGGGCAATTTGTTACTAAGGCAACGGAATTTACATAAATACATTCTTGGATCAGATGGTAACACTGATAAATATTTCTCAAAACAAAAATCAGATAATGTTATTACTCCAGTTTAGCATAAATTTATTGCTCAAACATTTCTTAACATTCTTACTAATATTATCAGATTAGCAATTATTTGATCATCCCATATCAAATTAAATCCACATTCATAGAAAGTGTTTTTAATTTCTAACCCCTTTTACTAAGCTGATACAATATAGAATACAGTGTATCTGAATTTTTTTTCTCTTTTGCCGCACATGATACATTGTCAGAAACCAACGATTCTAGCTTTAATAAGAATATGTAATGGTATTCTTCCCAATTCTCCATAAATCAAGCAATGAGCAGTAAATTTTTTAGCCTTCAAAACTGTATTACAAAATTGTATATATGGAACCAGAATGGTCAGAGGACTCCTTATAAGAGTTATTGCCCTTTAATGACAATTTTTTTTGCTTTATTGTCTAATATTAGATAAATAGAATATTTTAAAAGCAAAAATGATCACTACAACAGGATCTACAAATAATTCAAAATAGCCGAAATCTTCTGTCGAGTACTTATTAGAGTTATTGCCCTTTAATGAAAAGTTTTACCAGTTTTTCCCGTTTTTGCCTAAAATCTTGAAAGCTGTTATAGATAGACAGAAACTTTAAAAGCTAAAATGATCGGATAAGATCTACAAATTAGTCAACATAACCGAAATTGTTAATCAACTACTTATTGCCCTATAATGAGAATTTTCCCTTTTTTTCCTATTAGCTTGAAAACTGTAATAGATAGATAGAAACTTTAAATAGAACAAATGATCAACAAGACAATTTCTACTAGTACAAATAAGCCATAATGGCCGAAATCTTCAGTTGACCCTTTTTTTGAGTTATTGGCCTTAACTGATAATTTTTAACATTTTTATGCATTTTTTGCTTATTATCTTGAAAACTATAATAGATAAATAGCAACTTTAAAAAGGAAAAAAATTATCAGCAGGATAAGATCTACAAATATGTCAACATGACTAATATTGTCAGTTAACTCTTAATGCAGTTATTCCCCTTTAATGATTATTTTTACTAAAAAGTGGCTATTGTTGAAGATGCAGTTGGGCGACACAGGCTCTTTAGAGTCTCTAGCTTAGGCTTCCTGAAATTTGATTCATGTGAGCATGATATACAGTGTGATGCAATTTCACATACATCACTCATCAACTTCCTGCTACTGCGGATTCAGTTTATTTTAGTGAGATACCAAATTTTGTGGAATTCATGGGTACAGGTGAACCAAGACTTTCAATGATTGACAATGTATAAAATTTCTTTAGGCTTGTATCATATGATGCAGATTTTTGCAAAACCAAAAAATACAATATCCATGAAAATACAATTTTTCCTAAATCCACGAAAAACATCTGAATCCACAGTAACTGAATTTTTATCTTTTTTCATACATCATGAAAATCTGCTTAATATTTCAATTGAGAAAACAGATTTGATTAACAAAAAATAAACACAAAATTATAAAGATATTTCAGACATATTTTATTGTTAAAAAAAATGACAGAAGTTTTGAGCTTAGGAGGTCTTCTCATAATATTAGATAATATAAGACATAGTCATGATCATGATGATACATGTAGTACACTTAACATAGAAATTAATGTATATGAAATTTAAACATGTTAAAGAGAAAAGGAAACTACATACATGCATGCAAAATAATACCAGATTTTTATAGACTAGTACTTGTATTAATTACGAAAATGTATTGACAAAAAACATAGGTTTGAACAAGGGTCTGTAATTTTTATGAGATTTTGTATTCTTCTTACTGATGATTACCCAACGGCAGTAAATCTACATATACATTTATACTAAAAGACTTGCAAAAAGTTTTCTTTGGTGCAAATGAATAAAGAAAAAAGTTTTAAACTGAAATTGTCTATAAGGATAACCTTTGCTGAAAATTTATAAATAATAATAAAGTAAATAATCTGCCCTTGATTGTAATATTCTGCTGTTGGTTGTCACCGCATGTAACAGTGATAAGGGATCATTTACATGATATTCTTATGGGCATTAAACTACGAAAGAGGCCTTGTGGACTATTAATACAATATCAAGTGGCAGCGTTATTACCGGTAAACATGGTAAAGCATTACAATTAGGTTAAATAATTGAAAACCTGAAAATGCAATTTTGTACAAAAAAGAGGGTAGAAAATGTCTGATCATGACAAATTTTCAAATTCAAAATGACTGAAATGAAGAATTTAATTTCAGTTTTTATACGACCGCAAATACAGTCGTATATTGGTATGACGTTGTCGTCGTCCTCGTCCGAAGACACATTGGTTTTCGCACTATAACTTTAGTTTAAGTGAATGGATCTCTATGAAATTTTACCATAAGGTTAAATACCACAAAAGGAAGGTTGGGATTGATTTTGGGGGTCACGGTACCAACAGTTAAGGAATTAGGGGCCAAAAATAAGCATTTTCTAGTTTCCAGACAATAACTTGTGGAACGGTGTATGGATCTCTCTGAAATTATACACCACAAGTTTCCATACCACAAAGGGATGGTTAGGATTTGCTTTGGGGGGTTATGGCTCAAACTGTTTAGGAATTAGTGGCAAAAAAGGGGGAAAAACAAGGTTGTCCTGGTTAATGGACAAATACTTTAGTATAAAACATAATTTAAAGCAGTGTAAGGGAGATAAATCAAATACATCATTTGAATTACCTCCCTTACACTGCTTTTAAATTGTGTATAAAGTAATGGTTAATGAACAATTAAGACAATGTAAAACAGTGTAAGGGAGGTTATCCAGATACAACGTTTTGGTTACTTCCCTTACACTGCTTTTAAATTATATTTATAAAGGAAGACTAGTAAAAATATCTGCAAATGTATCTTTTTTTTTTTTACAAAAAAATCCATATGAAAGATTTGACACCATATTTTAAATTCTATTATAAAATATATTAAGTAAGCACTATGGTAAATTTAAATGGGTAATTATGATTGCAAATTCCATTGGAAATTTGAATTGAGATTATGACCATATCTTGAGGGAAAGAATTTTTTTGGGGGAAAAGGGGGGGGGGGGGTAAAAAGAAATTGTGGGGGGTCAATTTTTTCTCATTTCAGATTTCAGAAATTAAAAAGAATTATTCTTCAAATATTATTTATTTTTCAAATTTCAAATATTGAAAAATTTCAAGAAGTAATCCTTTATTGCACAGTATGGCGCATTAGATTTGTAAATCTTTGACCACATTTCTTTATTTGTTATGCCGAATCTGACCGTGTATTTAGATTTTTAATTTTGGGTCCAGTTTTCAAATTGGTCTACATAAAGGTTCAAAGGGTCCAAAATTAAACTTAGTTTGATTTTAACAAAAATTGAATATATGGGGTTCTTTGATATGCTGAATCTAAACATGTATTTAGATTTTTGATTTTGGGCCCAGTTTTCAAGTTGGTCCAAATTGGGGTCCAAAATTAAACTTTGTTTGATTTCAACAAAAATTGAATATATGGGGTTCTTTGATATGCTGAATCTTACCATGTATTTAGATTTTTTATTTGTGGGCCCCACTATCAAATTGGTTCATATTGAGGTCAAAAGGGTCCAAAATTAAACTTTGTTTTATTTCATCAAAAATTGAATTATTGGGGTTCTTTGATATTCCAAATCTAACCGTGTATTTAGATTTTTAATTTTGGGTCCCGTTTTTTAAATTGGTCTACATTAAGGTCCAAAGGGTCCAAAATTAAACTTAGTTTGATTTTAACAAAAATTAAATTCTTAGGGTTCTTTGATATGCTGAATCTAAACATGTGTTTAGATTATTGATTATGGGCCCAGTTTTCAAGTTGGTCCAAGTTGGGGTCCAAAATTAAACTTTGTTTGATTTCAACAAAATTGAATATATGGGGTTCTTTGATATGCTGAATCTAACCATGTATTTTGATTTTTGGGCCCCGTTATCAAATTGGTCCACATTGAGGTCAAAAGGGTCCAAAATTAAACTTTGTTTGATTTCATCAAAAATTGAATTCTTTGGATTCTTTGATATGCTGAATCTAACCATGTATTTAGATTTTTGATATTGGACCATAATAGGTAAATTAAAAAATTTAAGTTCTTAGACCACATTCAATCTGTGTCAGAAACCTATGCTGTGTCAAATATTTAATCACAATCCAAATTCAGAGCTGTATCAAACTTGAATGTTGTGTCCATACTTGCCCCAACTGTTCAGGGTTCGACTTCTGCGGTCGTATCAAGCTGCGCCCAGCAGAGCATTTTATTGAGTTCTAAATAAGTCAACTAGTCTGGCAAACATGACAGTTTCTGGACTCATTTGAATGAAATCTGGATCAAGAAAATAATAAAATAATAAATATTGTTTTAATTCTTTTTCAGGCTGTGTTTGTTTCATCAAAGTCAGCAAAGATATGTGCAGAGAAACTAAATCAGACTTCTAAAATGGGGAACATTATGACGGTTTATGTTGATCCTGGAGGTAAGCTGGAAATACTATCCAGGGTTCTCACTAAAGATTTTTATAGGGGATTCCAGGGACTTGAGAAAATTTTTGTCATGGTGAGCAGAGTTAATCAGAAAATAATATTGGCATTGGTATAATATACTATTGACAAAAAGAGCAAGGAAAATACATCAAATCTAGTTTAATTATTAAACTTTTTCTACAAAATAATGATACATATGTTCCAAAGAAGAGGGGGGGTAGGACCTTTATTGGGACTCCGGGATCAGGTGTTTTTAAGGTCGGGATTTCGGGATTGATCCTTTCGGGACCCGGGAATTCTTTTTTCGAATTCGGGATGTCGGGATTTAAATTTTTTTAAATTTGGGACCTCAGGATTCCATGTTTTTAAGCCCGGGATTTCAGGATCAGGACCTCTCCTACCTTCCCTCAAAGAAGGAGGTATGAAAATTGCCATTATGTGGCCCTTGAAAATGCTAAATAGTAAAATTATTCCAGCTTTTCAAATAATGTTAACTTTATTGATAAATGAGCAGGTTAATATAATCTGGATATTTTAGTACAGAAAGGTCACTGTGATGTCATAAAAATGTTAAAATTGGCATATATTTTGAACTACAATTGTCATTTTACACATAGTTTTTCTACAAATTATATAGGATATACGAGTATGGTCTTACGAAAAACATGTTTTGCACACATTGACATCTTTAGTAAGTTTTATACATCTTGAGGAAAAATAACTTTTTGGATAAAACCTTGGCTAATGTGTAATCAGGTAGTTTTTTTTCCTGAAGTTTGAAGCTCTAATGCAAATATGTAAGACAAATTTCAAAACAACAAAATTAAAATCATGTTTGACTAATGTCTAAGTGTCTTAAATTTTCTTATGAACATCTGAAGGATGTAATTATGTAGATTATGATATTTTATTGGAAATCAAGGGGTGAAAAAATGATTTTATACCTTCTCGTTAAAATTGCCAACCTAAATGCATAGAAAGCAATCGTTGCGATATTTCCGTAATTGTTACAAATTTTAGCCCAGAATTACAGTGTTAAGGTTAACAGTCTCATTTTTACAGATTATCTGTCATTACCCATCCGGAACTGTTCCCTGTTTAGATATCATTTTGATCACTGTGATTTAGTAATCCAGATTATTAAATTCTTTCGTGTTTCTCTGGAGTATCATACAAGAAAGCAATCTATTCATTTCTGGTTAAATTCATAAATTCCGATTAATTAATGATACGGCAAGTGCTATGTGTGGTGACACAATTGAGTTTCTGCAGGAAAGAAAACTAGGACAGCGAAATCGGAGACTGGAACATTATGTCTTTTGCTTATATTGTGAACAAGACTTCAATTCAGCATTATGTTGGTGTTCTTCTCTTGCTCATCAACTTAGAATCGTAGTTGTCATAAATAAAGGAAGTCGTGTATTTGTCACAATGTGCCTAGTTGTTAGTATGAATTTTTATAAAAAAAAAATTATTACTGAAAATAATCACAAACTACGGGCATCTTTATACATTTTTACTGATTGCAACAAAGGGAGTCAGCATCTATGTAAACGATACAATATTCAAGAAAGTAAGTCATACATGTATATAGAAAATAAGAAGATGTGGAATGAGGACCAATAAGACAACTATCCACTAGAGACCAAATGACGTAAAAGTTAGAAACTATAGGTCACCATACAGCATATGCTAATTTTTTATTTAATTGTATATGTGTTTTATTCACTTTTTGACTTTTGCATGTACTTTTTCAGGTAAAGAAAGAACAAAGTTAGTTGATGACGTTTTATCTGATAAGCCGAAAAAAATTCCAGGTGAACCTACTACACCATCAGACCCAAGACGCAATAGATCATCAAGTTTTAACACTAGTTTTAAGTCAGATTCTAGCTTTGAGGAAAACACTTTTGATGCTTTTGGGGCACAAACACCTATGCCAACCTTCAATGATACAGGATTCTTAAATAATATTAGTGATCCTAGAAATTCAGCATTTGATATCCAATATTCTGGCATGACACCTGGAATGACACCAGCAATGACTCCAAATGTACATGGAGGAAATTTTCCAAATCAGTTCGGTTTGACTCCATCTCCTCATGGTTCATCTCAAGGAAATATGACGAATTTTGCATTCCCAAATACGCCAAATATGTCTACACCTATGTCACAATCATCGTTCGGTTCAATGAGCACACCATCTTCATTTGGAGGAAATAATCATGCATTTAATAAGATGGATGGTCAAAAACCTTTAATATTAGAACCACCACCACTACAACCACCACATCAGCCACCACTACAGCCACCTGAACCACCATTCATTGATCATACACAGCCACCTCCTAATTCAATCATTGACAAACCACCCCCATTGATGCCACCACAAAATAATGAACCGCCACGATCTCAGTTTGACAATAACTACCGCAACAGCAGAAATCACAGGGATAGAAACAATAGTTTTGACAGAAGTGACGGTCGTAACTTTGACCGAGGGGATAATAGACCTTTTAATAGGGAGGAGGATAGAAATTTCAATCGGGGGTGACGACAGAAGTTATGGTAGAAACGATGATCGTGGTTTTAGTAGAAATGATGACCGTAATTTCCGTAGAAATGATAGGAACAACAGAAATGGTGACAGAGGTTATGGGAGAAACAGATATGATCGTGATAGAAATGATCGTAATCGTGATTGGCGCAGAGACGGCAGAGGTGATAGAAACGATAGAGATTATTCACATAGGGACCGTGATAGATATGGAAGTAGGGATAGGGATCGCTATAGTTATGATAGGGATAGAGACAGAGACAAAGGGAGGGATTGGGAAAGGGATTCAAGAGAGAGATTTGATTCTCAAGGTGAAGAAGGTCAACCACCTTCAATGCAGCAAGATCACATGATGATGCAACCTCCACCCCCTTCAATAATTCCTTCCCAAATGATCCCACCCCCTGTCATTCAGCAGCCACCAACCCAGCAGGCTCCACCTCAAAAACCAAGAACTCCAGATCCTGAACCATCGGAAGATGAACCTAGGGTGATGAGTTTAGATTCTAGAATTCAGAGCTTGCTCCAGAGTTCGGGAATGGTGGACACTTTTGGAAGTCCTTCATCAGATTCAGCTGGTGAAACTCGTAAAAAGGAACTTTCACCGTCACATACAGCAAATGTTCCAAATAATGACATCAGTATTAGTGCTTCCCAAACTCCATTCAACAATTTTCATTCCACACCTACAGACAGTTTTAGTGCTCAAAGGAATCCTAAGCAAACTGAAATAGACTTCAGAGAAAATCATTTTGTTCAGACCCCATACATGCAAACACCGGTGGACACGCCTTATATGTCAACACCTGTGGCCAATCAGACAGAAGCAGAGGACGACAAAATGAGCATTTCATCGGGAGAAAGTGGTAATCAGAATATTGAAATAAATCCAAGCATGTTAGCTGCCAATAATTCACAGTCTAGTGCTAATTTTATGACAAATCCTAATTTCAGTGCAGAATACTCTCAGTATGGTAGCTATATGGGTTATCCAAATCAAGCCGTTGGAGAAATGTACAACCAAAATTATTTTAATCAATATCAAAATATTATGAATGACCAAAACTCACTTCAAAATAAAGTAGATGATGAACAATTAGATAAAACTTTTTCTTCTGTTCTGGACAAATTTGTGAAAGAATTAAAGGAGATTATGCAGAAAGACATGTGTAAGAAAATGGTGGAGAGTTCTGCATTTAAATCGTTTGACAGCTGGTGGACCACAAATGAAACAAGAACAAAGGTATAGTATACTCAGATAATATAGTACAATAAAAGAGAGAAATTTCAAATCTAAGAATGAGTCAGTTGTAACCATGATATGTCAGCCACAAGTTTTAATCCTAAAAAATATTACCATAGATGCCATCAAAAGATTTATATTTAACAGGATAATATTTTGTGACATTAATTTTCCTTGCACTCAGTATCTCGCAATACTTCCATTAATTCTCATGTTATTTTAAGAAAAAAATGGATTTATCAACAAATGATCAACACAAATAATATTTTATATCATGAACATGATGTAGGTATATATCTCAATCATAATAAATATCAGTGACTTTCTACTTACATTTTTGTTGAGCTCAGTCTGTGTCAAAATTTTTCATACCTACTAGCCCAAAAGCTCATTTTAAGAAAAGACTTCTACATGTATATCAAATGTTTTTTTTTTTGTTTTTTTTTCACTTGCCCCAACCAGTTGTGACTAATCAGAGGGCTTTGATAGGGCTAGTGGTTTTTGACACAGAATTTTTGCATGGTTAGCTGGTGTGTTTGAATGCTTTACACATTTATGACAATGTACAGAGAAATGTACTTTACATTTTAACCATATAACACAGTTAAAAAGATACATTATATAAAGATATTTGTTATTTCATACATGTCATGTATGGCAGTACACACAGTGAAACTCAGTTAAAAAAAATCTATCTGGCTGTAGTTGAATGATTCACTGTGAAAATGGTGATTGCGAATGATGAATGTTTCAGTGGAAAACATGGTGATTTTACTGTAAAAACAGGGTGATTTGTGAATGATTTACTGTGAAAACACGGTGATTGTGAATGATTCACTGTGAAAACATGGTGATTGCGAATGATGAATGTTTCAGTGGAAAACATGGTGATTTTACTGTAAAAACAGGGTGATTTGTGAATGATTTACTGTGAAAACACGGTGATTGTGAATGATTCACTGTGAAAACATGGTGATTGCGAGTGATTTAAACTGATTACTATTGATTTATGACTGTCATAATTAAGAGGTGGAAGATACCACTTTGAACTTTGAGAGAAACTGCCAATGCCATGGCAAAAACGAACAATGATGGAAAGACAAGCCAATAACAGTCATATAAAACCTATATAGCTATATACCACCAAAATAAAATTGTTGTTAACATGTTTGTACTTAAATTTGATGGATTAGTAAGTGTTATAGTATTGTATTAAAACAATATACCTCAAAATGATTACAAAAGTTACTTGTATTATTTGCTTGTTCTAGAGGTCAATGTACATACTGTTTTCAAATACACACACATACAATCTTCCACATAAAAATAATTTAAATACTCAGCAGTCAGGGGTACTACTTATACAAGTGATTTCAGAATCACATCTTTAAGTGATTTTGGCTTTGAAAAATTGAAAATTTTCACAAAAATAGACACAGACTTTTTAAAATCACTGAAACAAGTAATTTGAGAAGTAAAATTGTAATCACTTCAATAAGTGTTTATAACATTTTTATTTTTGATATTTTTCCCACAAGCTAGATTTTTTTATTGGTTAAAAGACAAGGATTCCATTTAAAAAACAACTACATACATGCAGAAATTATCTTTTGCTTGATGAGCCTGTTAGTTTTTACAGTTTATTTAAAATATGCATAAACTGGAATAATTTGTAGATCAGGACATAAACTTGAAGAAGATCATTCTAACTTTTAAGAAGACCAATCAGGTTACTTAAAATTGTTGACCTTTGACTGATTGTAAGAGTAGTTAATGAATATTTGATTACAGAAAAATTCCCAAGGGTACTTTTAAAAGCTTTAGCGCACTAACTTACTGTCCAAGCGCACTGGTGAAATTAATATACAAGAGAAAGAGATAATTGATCTATGTAGGAAAATTAAAGAAAAATTTGTCAAAATATTTATGGAAGAGTTAATGAAATTAGCATTTGAAGATCAAAGAAACACCAAAATCACTTAAATAGGTGATAACTGAATATATCAAATCACTGAAATAGGTGATAATGAAATCACTTATACTTGTATAAGAAGTACCCCCTGACTGCTCAGCAACTGCCACAAAGTAAAAAAAATGGAAACAAAATAAAAGCATTCCAAGCAAAATGTATGACTGGTCAGAGAAAATGTTTGAATTTAAGACAGCTTCTTTTATGGATCTAGATAATGAAATAGTTTTTAAATGAACGATTGATTTTTTTCTCTTTTTTAGTCCATGCCTCAAAGGTTATTGCCAACAAAACCAACCGAATCAAAAAAGCCTTCTACAGTGACAGTTGGTAAAAGTGAGGTCATGTCAACGTTGGCAACACTGTTTGAACCACAACATCCATGGTCCAAAGAAGGAGAGGTTAACCTTGGTGGATTTGGAGGTGGTGGTGGATTTCTTGGAATCCGTGGTGGAATGCCAAGGTTGCCATCTTTCAAGGTAAGTTGCAGATTTTTTTCTTGATTAAAAGCAAGAAGTAAACTGTACTTGTGTACACAGGCAAATAAATTCATGTGAATTAAGCATGAATGTCAAGTGAAAATAGAATTTTTTAAGTAAGTTAAAATTTCCAAAAGAAGATATGAGACACTTATTAAAAGGTATAAGTTTTTAGCAAAAGTTTAAGTTTTGGTTTAATTTTTTATGCCCCCGCCGTAGCAGTGGGGGCATTAAGTTTTACCCTTTGTTCATCTGTACGTACGTACGTACATACGTACGTCTCAAAATTGGTTTCCATTCTCTAACTTGAGTTTGCCTTAACCAAATGTTATGAAACTTATACACAATGCTTATTACCACAAAACACAGATCAAGGTTGAAATATGGTGGCGTCACTTTAACCGTTCTATAGTTGTGCCCCTTTATAAATGGAAAAATTGCAAAATTTTTTTTTTCTTCTAAATATCAAGTAATTTTTAAAATTGGAGATATCTTCCTTTGTCCATGATTATAGTTGAATCAACTACAATCAATGCTTTATACAATGCAATGTTTAATTTTGACTTCCACTGATAAAACACAGATTGAGTTGAATTTGGGTAGTGTCACTTTAACCATTATTGAGTTATGCCCCTTTATAAATCGAAAGATTGCAAAATTTTTAGTTTCCATTCTGTCACTTAAGTTTGCCCCAACCAAACATTATGAAACCTATACACAATATTTATTACCACAAAACTAAGATCAAGTACAAATTTTTTGTTTCCGTTTTCTAACTTTAGTTTGCCTCAACCAAATGTTATGAAACTTATACACAATGGTTATTACTACATAATACAGATTAAGTACGAAATTTGGTGGTGACACTTTTACCATTCTTGAGTTATGTCCCTTTGAATTTTTCGTTTCTGTTCTCTAACTTTAGTTTGTCTCAACCAAATGTTATAAAACTTATACACAACCGTTCTAGAGTTATGAGTGTTTACAAATAGAAAAATTGCTGAATTTTTAGTTTCTGTTCTCTACTTAAGTTAGCCTCAACCAAATGTTATGAGACTTACACACAATGCTTATTACCACAAAACTCAGATCAAGTTCAAATTTGGGTAGCGTCACTTTTACCGTTCTTCAGTTATGTTCCTTTATAACTATATGATATGCAAGCGGGGGCATCATCTGTGTCCACATGTGGACACTATCCACATTTATTTCAAATTGGACTCCATTAATCTAATTTTCTAATGTAAAATTCAAATGATTTGAGAATTCATGTGAACATAATTTGACTATAATTGTCTTATTGAAAATATGTATGATAAGATAAGATGGTTGGAGTCTAAAAAATGTCTAATCAAAAGTTTGGCTTAACCAATTATAACCGATCATCAGTTACAATTTTTGACCGATTGAACAACAGTACCAGAATATTGATCTACAGTAGTATCATCCTGTTATGACCTTAACCAAACTGGTTTGCATTCAGAAACTTTTATTGGTACAAACTTTTTACAGTCTGTTTAATAAAGCTGTTAAGTATTCATGCAGTATTAACTTTCTCGATCTAGATACATATATTTCTTTTTTGCAGCGAAAAACATTTCACAAACCTCCACCTCCACAGTTTGACGTACAGCAACAGGAGGAGAAATCAAAGTCTAAAGATCTTAATGAAGAGGATGAGGAAGGTGAAATTTCTGGTAAGAAAACTAAAAGCTACAGACTGGTCATTACATTACTGTATTCGGCCGTATTTACTCTGCCTTTGTGTATATTCCACACCTCCTCTTCATCCCCAAATCTTGTGATTTCACACCTATACTTTAAATTATACAATAATGAAGACAAAAACATCTCCAGAGCCTACAGGTCTCATGGTATGGTATAATATGCAGCCCTCTACTGATTATATGTCTTCAGTTAAAAAGTGTGTATAATACATTCTCTAATTCTGCATAATTTTGTTGCTGGGTTACTTAAAGTTTTTGTGGATTCTTGAGATTTACCACCTGTTTAGATCTCATATACAAACTGACCTGTAATCACATAAATCAGGATGTATATTAGGGATGAGCTTGGCCTACAATCATACTACTCACCTCAATTCTTCATCGCTTGAGTTTAACATCAAAGATTATTTTTTTAGATTCATGAATTTGTGGTAAATTTTCCTTTCCACTTTAAATCATTTTTGTCTCGCCTTGACGGAGTCAAAAAGCAAGACATAGGTATGCTGTTTCCGGCGATGGCGATGGCGTCAACAATGTATTAGTTTGTGATTAGGTCTAGTTCATGGTGAACCACTAGTGGTAGGTCAATGATATTTGGTATGCAGTTTTATTAGCATTGGCACATTTCATTATCATGGAGATTATTTGGCCCCGCCCCCTCAGTCAACGTTTATTGACTTTGAAACTTTGCTTCGTTTACATGTATTAGTTTGTGATTAGGTCAGTTTATGGCGAACCACTAGTGGTAGGCCAATGATAATTGGTATGCAGTTGTATAAGCATTAGCACATCTCATTTCCATGGAGAATATTTGGTCCCGCCCCCTCAGTCACTAGTGGTAGGCCAATGATATTTGGTATGCAAATGTATTGGCATTTGCAAGTCTCGTTTCCATGGATTATATATAGCTCCTAACCCTCATCATGGTTCATTGACTTTGAAACTTTTACATAGTTTACAAGTCAACGTTTATCATGTTTGTGTTTAGGTTTGTAGAAAGGGAACGACTTATAATAAGTCTATGGTTTTTTATATGCAGTTGTATAAGCATTGGCACATCTCATTTCCATGGAGATTGTTTTGCCATGTACCTTCAGTCATGGCTCATTGACTTTGAATATTTGCATAACTTAAATGTTAAGTATTGCTATTTTAATTTCAACATTTGCATTATCAAAAGTACAAAAAGGCGAGACATATCTCTGTGGTAACAGTTTATTAAATTTAAAAGCTGTTGTTATTAATGTAGTTTATTGAGTCAATAATTGGATTCAGTAATCATAAAAGAATTTTTTTTAGAAATCTGTGATGTTTTTACAATTGTATTTATCTTAAAAAAATTTTGTAGATAAGGAATCCCCAAGGAGACCTCGTAGGAAGCCAGTGGTTAGTGAAAGTGAAGAGGAAGATGGAGATGAAGAAAGTGAAGATGAAGAAGGAGATGATGATGATGAGTCAGAAGGTAAGATGAGTTGAAGTGGGGTGTAAAGGGTTATTTTTGACAACATGTTTGCAATTTTTATTTCACATGTTCATGCTTGCAGTTCATTATGCACTGTGTTTCATGCAAACTTGTGTAAAAGCAACATGTAAGCTATTTGTTCATTTTTTGTTTAATCATGAAACTTCCATTATATTTCCCATTAGTATGAGCACATACCCCCCTTTATGACCCTCTTCAGATGTTACATTAAAAAGATCTTACACAAGGTGTTATTTTAAATCACAGACTTTCAGTGAGAATGACAAATTCTGTCTTTACTAAATAAAGGACAGCTAAATCAGTGCAAAGGAAGTTAAATCTCTCCTCCATACAAAAACAGGAAAATATCTTATGGTTTAATCACATAATTTCTCCTTCAGATGAAGAAGCAGCAAGTGCAGAAAGCAGTGATGAAGAAGGGGAGGAAGAAGACTCCAGTGACGAGGAGGAGTCAAGTGATGATGAGGAGGAGTCTTCAGAGGAAGAGGCGGAGACTGAGAAAGAGAAGGTGGAGTCAAAAGTAGAAGAAAAATTACAAACAGAACCAGAAGAAACTGCTGAATCAGCATTATCTGAAGAGGAGAAGTACGATTGTAGTTTCTTTTATTTGTTGGTCAATTGTCATTTTACATCGCCAAACCTTTTACTTGGAAATCTGATCCTGAATTTCTTAAATGGATCTAGTAACACTATGTTTGTCTTTCTGTTCTGATAGTTATTACATCAACCAATGAAATTTCTCCCCTAAAATTTTTAAAAGTGTTTATTATCATAACGACAAAACCACTGATCCTTAAGAGGTCTTCAACACAGAAAGTAGAACAGAAGCTTATCTGATACTTGAAAGTGAAGTGTGGAAACAGGATCTAAATTTTAATCAGATAGAGAAGAAAATTTATCAGCAGAAACATCACTGTAAAGTTGGTGGTAAAACCTTGCATCCAACTGTTCACTGAAAGAAAGAGGCTGAGGATACCAACAAAAACTATGACAAAAAATAAAAAAAAAAAAGCAGCATTCTACAAAAAACTAAATGGAAAACAAAAAACTGAGCAACGCAAACCCCACCAAATACCGGGGGGGAAAGAGTAGAATTAGTTAGATTGTAATTTTGTTCCTTTTAAGAATGACACATTTCAAATTTCCAAAAGAAGGAAAATTAGCATCACTTCAACCAAATTGACAATAGTGTTAACTTGTTTTCTAGCAACTCTTTGAATTTGAACAATTTGAATTTAACATCATGTTTTGAAGCCATTAAAACGTTAATTACATCATGTACATATTGAGATCTCCTTGCTTCTGGGTATTTTAACTTGGATTTACCTCAGATTTCAGTTTAGCAATATTTGCTTGGAACACCACATATTTTTTTCAATAGATATCTATAAAATTGCTATTGAATTGATCATTTGCTAGAAAATTTAAAACTGAGAAAGATTTCAGTTATAATATACATATGAAAGAAAAATTGCTTTAATCTTATCAAACTAATCAGATTGAAATTAAAATTACTCTCTGAATTCTGGTTTAAACTTTCATGTTGACAAACGGGTTCTGTTCAGTTTTATTTGCTAGTTTGTATATTTTTATACTCTTTGAACTTTGGGGGTTACTGTCTTATTGGCCATTATGGTATAATTCCCCCCGCCCCCTTACATAAAATCTTCTTTTATTATGTGCATAGTTCAAACGTATTTTATGATTATTTTAAAGGGAGGAAGAAAGTATGACAGCAGATGCTCAAGAAGAAGAGGGCAAAGTTGAAGCAAAAAGGTTGATGAGTAACCATAGAAACATAAATTCAATATTAGTTTTAGATTCCATGACAGTATGGTGTAATATCATGTGACTTATACACCAAAAAAAAGAAAACAAATCCTTTAAATTTAATATAGAAGAAAGAATGCTTGTTAGAATTTTAAAAAATCAAAAATGCAATGTCAGCTTGTTTTTAAGTTAAATGAATACGCATGTTTACTAAAATTCTTAAAATTAAAACAATAATGTCATATAAACAGATGGAGATGAGGTATGATGATACTGTATTAAATGCTGCCAATTAATATAAAAAATCTGTAAGAAGTAAATAAATGTCATCAATTACTTGACTAATGGCTACTACTGCATGTATGAGTGATTACTAACCATAGTATAGTAATTTCTTCTGCTCTGTAAGTCCTAATGTTCAAATAATGTTCAAATAAGAATAAGGAGATGTGGTATGATTGGCAATGTTCAGATGTTGTGGAAATAAGCAACTATAAGTAAATGTACTGCTTTCAACAATGAGGAAAACCCATACGTCAAAGCAAGCTATAATATGCCCCAAAATGACAAACGTAAAACAAGAAAACCAACAGCCTGATTTATGTACGATACCACAAATGAAAAACAAACAAAAAAATAATTGCATGTTTGAATAAAAGAAATTATGAGTTTAACCATAAAGAGACAGTAACCTTGCAATACAATAAAACCAAATGAGATATCTAGATGTCAAAAACTTTTTTTTTAGTATATATCAAAATAAGAAGATGTATATTTGCCAATGAGATAGCTATCTATCTTGGACAAAATGGTGTGGATATAAGCCAACTATTGGTCACTGTATGGCCTTCAACAATGAGCAGAACCCATAGCGTAAAGTTAGCTTTAAAAAGGCATCAGCATGTTCCTTTTTTACAAACATATTACTAATGTATGTTAAATAAGTTGTCTTTTATACACTATATAAGAAATGAATCAATCTCATTGAGTAAGATTATATATGTAAAGAGATAGATAACTTGTTTTAAATTAAATTTTGTATTTTAATGTTTCCCTTGAATTGTTTCAGAAAAGAGACTCCCAAGCAAAGAGGGAGAAAGAAATCTCCAGGAAAGCTATCGCCTGTCAGAGAATTAAGTGAAGTAACAGAAGATTCCGATAGTAAACAAACTGAAAGTGAGGCTGAAGAAAAGTCAAGTGCTATTCAGTCTTCTTCTACAGACAGTTCTGTTAAATCTGGATTTCAGACTTTACTCGAGGCTTCAGAAATTCTTAGCTTACGTGATAGTGAGCAAAAACCACCAGTTTTAACACCAGTGAAAGAAACTCCATTAAAAGCACCTGAAAGGGAAGAACGGCCAAGCTTTTTGGCGGAACATGACTATTTTGCAGCTCCTCTTGTAAGACCGCCAGAAAAAGAAAGATTGGATGACGTTGATCTTGATTCAGACGGCACAGATTCGGCGGACGAGGATGGCAATACAACTCCTATGGAAGTGTTTATTGACCATAATTATTGCTTACCTCCTAAACCGTCGATAAAAGATATTCTGGAGGAGAAAAAACCTTTAAAACCAAAGAATTTAGAACCAATTGTGAATTTAGAAAATATAGAAAATTTATTAAAACCAGAAGACAAAAAGAAAAAAGAGCCTCCAAAGAGAGGCAAAAGAAAACAAAAAGACATGCATTTAGTGGATATTACGGACGTACTGAATAAGTCTAAAGGCAGCAGAGAGTTAATCAATCTTCTTCCACCTCCAAAAGAGGTGAAAAAATTCACTCCAAGGAAATTGGAAGAGGAACGTCAAATTTTCTTTGATCTCTATAATCAGGGCATAGACAATGAAGATGTCAATTATTTGAAACGGACTTACGACCATTTATTACAGTCGGAAGAACCTATGTGTTATTGGATAAATGATATATTATGGGTCGACCATCCGTTCACAAATATTCCCAACCCAGTGCCATCAAAAAGACGGAAAAAGGACCATGAGCACAAAACAGGTATATGTCAGTTATTGGTATTCAGATGGTTCTGGTGTTGGCTATTAAGATTATGTGTGTTCAAATTGGAAAGTGAAGCATATGAGTTGGTTGTTTCATACAAGGTTTTGAGTCTGAATATTTCTATCAATTTTTTTTTATTTCAGGAATTGCATGTTTTAAAAAAAAACATGTTGCTAGGGTTATATATCTAATCGTTTAAAAAGGTTCAATTTTTGTTAATATAAGTTAGCAGCATTTTATATCTTGTCATGCTTGTATTCATGGTAATGTTATACAAATGTATATTGTAAAAATTCTGATTATAGAATTTATTGTAATTTTTCTATGGTACATTTATTATTTTGTAAAACAGTGATAATGGATGTATAAAACAAAACTTTGTTATGACTATAAATAACTTAGTTTACTATATAGAGGCTGATCATGGGGATCACATCTGGTTAACTTTTTTCTTTTTGAATTCATACGTTTATATATGTCATGAACATGACAGAGCCTGACTCATCCCTTGAATAAGCCTTAAGAAAAAGGATATATGCTATAGGTGGTAAAATCATCTTGTATTGAAATTAATTCCCTTAAGGTCAAGTTACAGTTAGGACTATATATATGTCATCGATTTTTGTGAAATTTTGCATACAACTTTGGCTTGTTGAACTAACTGAAAATCAAAATAATAATGCATTTATCTTTTTTCATTTCTGAATATAACTGATTAAATTCTTTCAAAATAGGGGAACATTTGTATAGTTAGCACTTAAAATCAGGTGAAAAATGTTCTTTAATTTGTCTTGAAATCCTCAAATCTCCAATTTCAAATCGATAGATGTTTGAAGTTTCTTTAAAAATTACATATATTGTTGATACATTAATTTGCATTTAATGATGTAAAATAATAATAGAGTCCTTATTAATGGTTTACAGCTTTGTTTTAAAAATAATTTGCCAATTTTTGAGAACTTATTTTCTGTTCAATTATTTTTGTGTAAAGTCAATATTTATAAATAACTTGACCATGTTGACATTCTTGCATTTATCTTGGAAAAGTAGAAAGTACCCCAATGTCAGTTAATTTTGTAGTTGATCTGCTTTAATAAAGTATGAGTTATCTCCCATACAACATGATTGATGTCAAATAAAACATTTCTATAGGATACAGTTTGATGTACAGATAAACAGTTAAAAACAATTTCATTGTAATGCACATATGTTTATCAGGAATGGGAGTCATATTTCTTTAAAATCTTAACCATTAAAAAGTTAGTTCCTGGAAATTTATAGATATTTTATCATATTGTTCATATAAACTAAATACACCAACATGTATTTCTTTTGTAAAGTTTCCCTTTTGGAATACACTGTCATTTTATGTTGTATGTATTTATAAAACTATGTTTTAAGTCCAGATGATACTTTGATCTTGAATTTTTATTTACTTTTTGACAAGAAGTTGACCATATTTTATACTTCTTAATATAACATCATGGTTAATATACATTATGTTTATTTCAGGAAATTTAAATAAATTTTTGCATCATAAACATGATAAATTAATATTTTTCTTCAAAATATTCAACAAAGTTTTGGAACTATCTCTGTATTCCTTCACGTCAACAGCCATTTCTAAGAAATTGAGAATCATACAGTATGTAATATCTGTTCAGATGACATGAGTCGTAAAGTAAATGTATATAACTTTTCATTTTTCTTATTTTTATACGACCGCAAAAAAATTTTGTGGTCGTATATTGGTATGACGTTGGCGTCGTCCGACGTCGTCTTCGTCGTCGTCGTCCGAAGACACATTGGTTTTTGCACTCTAACTTTAGTTTAAGTGAATGGATCTCAATGAAATTTTACCATAAGGTTCAATACCACAAAAGGAAGGTTGGGATTGATTTTGGGGGTTATGGTACCAACAGTTAAGGAATTAAGGGCCAAAAAGTGGCCAAAAATAAGCATTTTTGTAACTTCCAGACATAACTTGTGTGTTAGTGTATGGATCTCTCTGACATTGTACCACAAGGTTCCATATTACAAAGGGCATGCTTGGATTGATTTTGGGGGTAATTGCCTCAAACTTTTAGGAATTAGGGGCCAAAAAAGGGGAAAAAACAAGCATTTTTCTAGTTTCTTGCCAATACATGTAACTTGTGTGTAAGTCTATGGATCTTTCTGAAATTCTACTACAAGGTTCCATATCACAAAGGGAAAGCTGGAATTGAGTTAGGGGGTAATTGCCCAAAACGTTTAGGAATAAGGGGCCAAAAAGGGGCCAAAAATAAGCATTTTTCTAGTTTCCAGACAATAACTTGTGTTCAAGTGTATGGATCTCTCTGAAATTGTACTGCAAGGTTCCATATCACAAAGGGAATGCTTGGATTGATTTTGGGGGTACTTGCCTCAAACTTTTAGGAATTAGGAACCAAAAAAGGGGCAGAAAACAAGCATTTTTTTAGTTTCATGACAATAACTTGTGTGTAAGTCTATGGATCTTTCTGAAATTGTACTAAAAGGTTCCATATCACAAAGGGAAAGCTGGAATTGAGTTAGGGGGTAATTGCCCAAAACGTTCAGGAATAAGGGGCCAAAAATAAGCATTTTTCTAGTTTCCAGACAATAATTTGTGTTCAAGTGTATGGATCTCTCTGAAATTGTACTGCAAGGTACCATACCACAAAGGGAAGTTTGGGATTGATTTTGGGGGTAATTTCCTCAAAATTTTAGGAATTAGGGACCAAAAAGGGGCAAAAAACATGCATTTTTCTAGTTTCAGGACAATAACTTGTGTGTAAGTATATGGATCTTTATGAAATTGTACTACAAGGTTCCATATCACAAAGGGAAAGCTGGGTTTGAGTTTGGGGGTAATTGCCCTAAATGTGTAGGAATTTGGGGCCAAAAAGGGGCAAAAAAACAAGCATTTTTCTAGTTTCCAGACAACAACTTGTGTTCAAGTGTATGGATCTCTCTGAAATTGTACTGCAAGGTACATTGTACCATACCTCAAAGGGAAGGCTGGGATTGAGTTTGGGGTGATGAATCATAAGGGGGTTCAAAAAATTGGGGGGGGGATTTTTTTTCCCCTTTTTTTTTTTAAGATTTTCCATTTTAAATTGGTTATTTCTGATTTATATATAAAAGCAAATAATAATGATATGGTTTGAATAGGTAAATTAAATTTGTTTAAGTTCTTAGACCACATTCATTCTGTGTCAGAAACCTATGCTGTGTCAAATATTTTGACCACAATCCAAATTCAAGCTTGAATGTTGTGTCCATACTTTCCCCAACTGTTCAGGGTTCGACCTCTGCGGTCGTATCAAGCTGCGCCCATCGGAGCATTTTTTTTACTGTATGGAAGAGAAATGACATTACCAATTGACACTGCACTATAATACCAAAAGATTGTGGATTGAGAAAAATTTGCTTTTTCGTGGATATTTGATTTCATGGTTATGCCAAAGTGTGCACACAAGCCTATAGAACATTTTTAATTCGTTGAACATTTGAATTCTTCGATCACCTGTAGGTACGGACTCCTCGAAAATTGTTATCAAACGAATAACAATGAATCCACAGTACTTCAAAATTTTAAAACTTCAAGAAAAATAGCTGCTTAGAACCTGTAGAACATTGAGCAAGCTCAAAAACTGTATAAACAACATGATAAAAAAAATAAATGAGTTGTTAAGAAAAAATATATAAGCCATTAGATGAAGGTAATATAAACTAAACCTCATTAAATTCTTTCTGAATTTAGTTCTCAGATATTAAGTGACTGACAATGATATAACTTAATGTCAAGATACATCTAACATTTCTAAGGGAGTATTGCAGTCTTTCATTAAAATTTGATCATTGTGCTCTGAATTTGTTGCTACATTCTTTTAATAAAGTTTTAATGATTGAAATTCAGATAATCTAAGGGTGACTAGGGTATAGATGTAAGGTCGCCTTGGTCTTCTTCTGACTCAGTTAAACCTATGCCAAAGTGGGGTGTCAGTTTAAGCTATGCAGGATTTATAGATTCACAGCCAAATCCATTCAGAATGGGGATCCAATGCCACTTGTAGAGAGAATACGAAGCCTTCTGCAAGTTATAACCTTTGCAGCAACTTGTTTTCCAGTGGCAGTCCAATTTCCCCTCCCTCATCCATGGTTTACCACTTAGCAGAACCAACATTGTACCTATCTATTTTTATTAGATTCTCAACTTGCATATACACGAAATATATGCCACTGGACATTGCACAAGCATAAATCAATCAATCAGATCTCAATACCAAATAAGTTCATGTGAGGTTGCATATTTGGCAACATATCAGCCTCCAACAACACAAGACTCATTCTGATCTTATATTTTATGCTTCATTGACATTGATCAAGTTTTATTCAAGCTTTGTTGTATCATTATTTGTATGCAGGTTTTCCTGAAATTATTATAAATCATCTCAAATTTTGTTTATTCTCAATAGACTTACTTTGAGTTCTTTTTTATGAATGAGTTATTCTGGTTGACTCTAGCTATATAGGTCAATGGATGTAAATGATGTAGTTGAACAATCTACTCTTACTGTATTGTAATAAAAAACTAGACAATGATGCCCCCACACTCCACTCTGAAGTAACTGTATTATAACAAAGTCAATGTAGGACTTTCTTTGAGATATTATTGTATTATTGATGCCCCCCCTGATGCAAAGTGTTATTTTAAAATAACTATAACATTTAATGGCTTATACCCCAAAAATGACAAAGTTCAACTATCTCCCAAAAGAGCAAATATTAATAAAAATCAAAACCCTGACCACATGCACACTTTCAATATATGCATGATATGTACAAACAGCCAGCAAAGTGAACACTTCCTAGCATTCAAACTGTAGGAGGAGTTATCTGGAAACGCTCCTCTTATGCAAGTAAATCCTCCAAAAAATGACAAATTTCAACTATCTCCCAAAAGAGCCAATATGAATAAAAATCAAAACCCTGAC